CTTTCGATTGCTGGTTGTGTTTCCTTGTTCTTAATGCATTTTTACTGTGGGAGGTAGGCCCGATAGATTGAAAAGCTCTAACCTGAAAGTTGCGGCCTCCTTGTTGTATTTTCGTGCCTATAGGTAACCCTCGTACTATTGATAGAAGAAACCAGAGAAGTATTGAGTACGTCTTTATTTCGATCTTAGCGCAGTCACAGTGGAGCGTGGGATTATCTGTTCAGACAAACAAAAGCTTTCAACATTCAATATAATAATAAGGAATATAACGCTTATACAAAATAAGGAAGTGAATGAATACTTGAACAATACTGTTTTGGCATATGCTTGGTTGTTTGGGGTCAACTCTTAACCAACCAACCTATGGTGTTACAGTATCTACTACTGAGTCCAATGAAGTTTTTCTTTGTAAATGGAAACACTCAATTTTTGTTCACAACTTTTAATGAATTCGAAAGAGCAAAATATAACATATTGATGTTAGGTATAAAGTATCTGTGGAGATCTTTTTTAATACTGGACAATAGATCACGAGTTTATCCTTAGTTCAGAAAGATTAACCGATAGTCCGACCTACATTCTGTCCTAACGTGAACTTCCTAGTCTACGAACTATTATATGTGTTGGGTAAAATAGGACCATAAATTACTAGCCTACTATAATCTTAGAACAGCTCTGTGAACTGATGTTGTAATCTAAATATCAAGTTAGCGACTGACATTTAGTCACTTATCTTTATCTTTCACAGACTTTATATAGACCACAAGTCAGGAGTTTGATACCAAAGATCCTCTTATAGCTTGCCACGTTCGACAGTGGTTGGTCATTTGTTCTTATACACAGAGTCATGTGTCCAATAAAATGTGTCACCATTGATTTATTTCAGTGAGACATTCCTTTCGTTTTTTTAACTGACCTAGAAAATAAAAGGGAAATATAGGTTCATATTTTAAAATGCTCTCAGAAAAGAGCTTGAGTAGTGTGAAATGTGCTAAAATATCCCGGTCAAACGTTGTGTCGAAAATTCGGTAATCGTTTAGAAATACATACACAAATGTTTCACAACTTTTGATTAATCGAGCGGAAATATACACCAAAAATTGTTTTTCCTCTTTTTAGATTTTTAGGGGGGTGGTTTAGCGAATATAAATCCAACACTTATATTACAGAAAGCCAAATTTCAAACGTTAAGTAGTTTTTCATGGTTTATGAAACTTAAGGTTGTTCAGTAACGTGTTAATTTCATTGTACAATTGTTGAGTTTGCAGCAAGGCAAGTGAAAACTTTTCTTCTGGTCATGATGTTTCAACAGGTGTAAGAAATGTTTAAAAAATTATTTTACTTTGCTTTTTGCTCGCTAATGATAGTGAATCTGATTAATCAGTTGACTACTAAGATTCGACACCAGCAGTAACTTGGTTACAACATGTTTACACATTTAGCCCAATAAGCTGCGCTTCGGAATATATCTACATAGAGTTGTGTAGCCGGGTTAGGGATACTTTATTGATATCAGTTGAAAGCTTGGGTCAATTGTGTTCGTTGACTTAAGCTTGGTATGATATACGGTTAAAAGCATGTTGTTTGGTTAACAAACCTTCTGTTTTCGCCATTCGCTTTGATCTCCGGTGAAATTGTAAGTAAATAAAGTATATAGATTTTTAAATAGAGTGTTACAATAATTGCTCTTAGTTGCTGTCTTAGTAGTTCTTGTTACACGGAGATCATCATCCTTTATAATTTAATAGTGAATCATTAATCCTTGATTTGAATTAGAAGGGCTACCTTCCGGCATTGCTTCCGTTACTTCGCAACTCTGAGTCTTGATGAATCTCCTCCCAATATTTTTAAAACAGTACATTTCAAAGGAATTGAAGAATGCAACCATAAAATCATACAATCCGGAAAAAAGAAAGTCAGTGATAGCAGTTTGGTCTTCAAATTAATAAACAAAAGCACTCCCATCAATTAAGAAGTTACATGCTCAATCGTACATGAAGTTAAGTGACTGCAAGCCACATTCAAACGTCTGAACAACTCATAGCACCGCATGGTCTAAGTGTAGTTTGGTTTTAATGAACAAGCTTACACTTCAGAAGATTGAGCGTCAACACATATGTTTTCAATATCATAGCCTCGGGAACTTAAATGGTAGAAGCAGATAACCAATGGCTCATAAGCCCATTAGTCATCAAACTGAATTGTTAGAAATGATAAATTCTATTCATGCTCTCATTCTGCCATATAAACTCAAGATGCGAATCCATCCAGGTTCCTTCAACCTTAGATTCTTTCATATTTTTAGTTGTATTTTATGTAAGCAAGTTAGGATGAAGAACTACGAGGTTCATGATCACATCATTTTAGACGCCACCAATGATAAGCCAAGTATGCTGCACCCGGCAAGTTTAACATAAAGAGCAGCCAAATTAACTGGTATTGTGTGTGACTGATAATGTAGACTATGCTAGAGAAATATCTACTGTAAAAATCTAGTGTTAACCAAAAAAATAGCACAATATTTTAGAGCACCAAACTAATAATTGTATGGAATTGGATACTTACTGATTACAATAGGGGTTTTAACTCTCATAATTGAAGATTCTAGTGTTGTTGGAATACCGTCTAGCCGTTATCTTGTCATAGATCTGCTAAGTCGGCCCTAAAGGAGCCGAAGAGTTGCAGCTAATCAGAACATCATGAAACTTTCTAGGATAGCAACGTTGCATGCTACTATTGGTCAGTAGGAATAATGTGTCATCGCGGATCGGCCGAAATATAATGTTGATTTAACAAATGCTAGTATTTACAAATACCCGTGATTTCCTTAACATATTGATTGTTACCAAATAAACACTTCTCCGGCTTTTCTTCTGTCTTCTGATTCTCGGCGGTGAAGTTCTAACGTTAGAGTGTCGTCGTTTTAACCCATATTATGTGTTAATGAAGCAGTGAATGTAACAAGACAAAAACAAGCAAATAAATCTCCATCGTTTAGACAGTGCATGTGACTCCAAAATTATTATTCACCATGTTGATCTTGATCAGTTAAGCTCTCGGATCGACTAAAGTGAACATCTACAAATATATTTCTGCTAGCATTATGGCCACTAATTTTATTGATGAGTTATTGGCAGAGATAATTCACCTGTCAAGAATAACGAATGAGTGCAAGAGAATATTTGAATGTGAACAGTTACATATTGTGAACGAACAACTTTTAAACAGGTGCTATTTTTATAGTAAATATAGTTTATCAAATATTCGGAAACGTTTTTTACTATAAGAAAGTCACAACAAAACCTCTTTGTAAGTGTTGCTTTATTTTGTTATTCCCAAATTTGCTATGAGAAACATGGGGCCACGTACTGTATTAGGTGATATATATCTGAAAAGTGATTGTGGGTCTGTTTTATTTGTATTTGTAGTGACTTCAAAAATTAAAATTACTAGTTAGGTCCTGTTCTCCAACAGGACACGTTCTCAAGCAATTAATCAGGAAAAATAAAACGATCGTTTGTATAGTGCTTTGAAGAGTTTATCATTATTCCATTAGTTATGTCAAGCTTTTCCAAAACTGTGGATAGGATTTAATTATTATCTATTTATTATCCCCTCACGAATTTAATTTATCGAGCTTAAAGTTTGGAAGCTTTAGACGGTGGCCCATTGATGGTTATCAGTTTTGTAGGCAGCAAAGTCTCATATAACCAACAGTATGCCCAAAAGGCACGGATGTCCATTTAAAGTCAATTAGTGAGGTTCATTAAATTTGTGAACATAGCCTCGACTGTTTTTGTCGATTTTTTTGAGGTATTGTATTATTTTAAACAAAAACGAGGGTGTGGAATTCTAAAAGTCGGTAGTAAATTAACAGAAGATGGTTAAACCGCCATCGTCCATGTCTATTTATTCAAGTAGGTATGTGCTGATCCAGACAGACTCTACCTTTTTTTCTTATGCATCAAAATTCAAACAGTTTCTGTTTTAAAAATCACTAACAAAGAGTTCTTAAAATGCAAATCTCCCGAATAAAAGCGACACACCTTCGGAACATTGCTAAAACCTGGCCTTAGTCATGCTTGTAACAACCGAAAAACACATGTTTATCTTAAAGCACGAAAAATAGTGGTTGAATTCTCTCGAAAAATAGCGCGGCACTGAATGACATATTCATTTAGAAAATATCGAAGTGGGGAATCAAAGGTCCACTTTTAGCAATGAAAAAGTAAAATATTGTTTCAACTATTAAACCAAAATTCCTTACATGCTTTTCTAAATTTTCGTTTTCGCAATGCGAATTGCTAGCTGGCTACACGCAAATCATGTACATAGAAACTGACAACTCTAGTTCAGTTATGGATTCTTATAATGTGTTCAGTGGTCAGTTTGTTGGGAGCGCTGCTACATTAAACCAACTGAAAGTCCTCTTGGTTTACCAATGCAGTGAGAGAAATCTATATTCAAAAGATTTTACAGATGAGCAATCAAAAATGGACCTGATCTCAAGTTGTTCAAGTGAAATGAGACTACACAGTATGGAGTTCTGAGAATTACGTTCGTTCAGAACAGATAACTTCCATGTCCCCATATTAAACTGCTGAGAGGACGCAATTCACGACAGTTCACAAAAACATGTGAGGCCTTTCACAAGGATCGAATTTCGACTTTTGATTATTATCTAGGTGTCTTTCAAAAAGAGCGTATTTATGTGGACAGAAATTAGGCTAGGTACTCTGTATACAGTCATAAATAGCATATTATATTGTTAAACTTCGGTTTTCCAGAGGATCAATGTCTAAAACACTTAGTGTTTCCCAGATGAAGTTCCCAAAACATAGTTAAAAACAGCTCAATAACAGCGGGTAAATGCATTCAGCATTTAACTGACCGAGTGATCAAATGTTGACGTTGTATTTTTGAGTAATTTATCTTGCCTAGTGTTTAGTTTGCCTGGTTCAGTATTGATTGTTTAAAACAACTGTTGCATCTGTACTTTCACTTATATTTGCGCGTGTTTTAATATATATGATGAATATTCACTGCTGCCCCAAGTGGACATCAGTTGGAGCCAAGAAGTAATTATTAAGGATTATCTCCGATGGCTTTTTCCAGCTTATTCTTCCATTTATACTTCAAAAAATCTTATTCGTAACCGAATAGTAATCATCACAATGACTATTTATGACAAATTTAAAGTACCTTTGACTCATTTTCAAGCATTGCTTATTCTTTACTCCAGAATATTAATTTTTATGTAGAGACGTATTCTTATATGATGGGCGATTTGTATTGAATGCTTCACTGTTTACATCAATCATGCAAATAGGTATCTTAAAATTTGTTAACATAATAATTATCGTTATCTCTTATACAACAACACACACAATCGATAATGGTAAAAGTATCATAAAATAAAGTGTATTACATGGTGTTTTCGTTAATTAAGGCGATATATTGGTCATACGATTATATAGGGTAGTTTGTTTACCTTTTAAACCTTTTTATCAGGGTGAATATGCAGTCAAAGAAGGATTTTGTTCATTGACTCATTATTTTATTTGTTATTAGTTTGTGTGAGTGATCTGAAAACGTTTTTGTAGGAAATAATTTAATTTGAAATGTTGAAAGCTATTACTTTTTAAATGTATGGTGAAAAGTCATAGGCGATATATAAAAGTGGTGGTACACTGAGACTAAAACACATAATGTTTGTTGAAAACGGCATAAAAATGCATGATAAATTAAGTTATTACCTGTTTAAAAACTGCTTGTTAATGTTATTGTAATGTGTGCGAATTGCTGGCTATACGCAGCTATAACAAATTACCAGAGAGTAATGCTTATTACTGTTCGGCTAAAGGCAGTGATGTTAACAACTAGAAGGTTTTTGCGTTGTGTTTGTTCAATGGACTTCTTTTTGCACTAACAAAAGTTGTTTATGGGCTACAAACATTCAGGATATCTCCGTACAAAATTAATACCTGAAACAATAATAATTACAGTTTAGATTTTATTAATAACATTGCTAAAGCAATGTGCTCATAGAAATTTAATGTAAATGACACTTGAAAAAATGGCCTTTGCGGTTTTTATTTGTATTTCGTTAACTCCAAATTCTGTGTGGACATCATAAAATTGTTCGAGACAAGTGCTTCGATGTTGTACTTAATAGTAAAGGAATTTTTTTTTTCAATTAGACTAATCTGTCTTTTGCTGTGCATATCAGTATCTTGCTTGATCACCTATCGAGTACATGTTTGGTTGAAGCATTACGACAGTTTGGCATCAAAAATGATTATTTCAGCTTATGATGATCATCAAAGTAATTTGCCGTTTCCTTTGATCAGTATCTGTAATATTAATCCAGCAAGGTAAGTGGATTTGTTTCTGTACATGCCATAAAATAATTTGCAATTTAAATGAGCGATATGAATAAACACTACACAGAAGTTGCTTCACACTTAAATAATACCTGATACTAAATAATTTTTAAATGTTATCAAAAACTGCCAGAAAACATTAAACTTTCCTTAAGTTTACGAAGAAACACTCTAATATAACATAAGAAGCAAGAATACAGTGAGTATAATGAACAAAATTGATCTTTTTGATAGCGGAGTGCTAGAAGTATTCATAGATCAGTCGTGATATGTAAATCTTTGCAGCACTTCTGACAGCAAGGCAAAACAGTTTTTATAAAACCTAATTTTTTAGTTATTAAACACTCAAAACAAATGACTGAAATTATCCGCAAAGCTTAAACGTGGAACTATATGAATGATCGTAAGGTTCCATGGCAGTGTTTATCACTGTAAGGAGTACTTCAGAAGTACACTAGCCTTATACATGCTTTCTACTTAAACTCAGCTGGTCGAGTGAAAGCTTATGACGAACTATCATCACAATTAACTACTTCCAGTGGTGTTCGTCAAGGCAGTCCACTCTCTTCATTCTTGCTTAACTTTGTCGTTGAAGTGCTTTTAGAGATAACACTTTCCTCATCAAAATTTACAGGGGTTGAACTTCCACCAGGAGGTTAACTTGTTGACTCAGAATATGCTGATGACATAGTTTTATTTGGCGAAGACGCTGACAAAATGCAGAGTCTTGTGATCACTCTAAGCAACAATGCAAGCTTGTTCGGGATACAATTCTCTCCCTCGAAATGCAAAATGTTGTTTCAGGATTGGGTTGCATCGACACCCGAACTAATGAAAGGGAGTGAAGTAATTGAGCGTGTCAACCGCCTCACTTATCTTGGAAGTCTCATCAGCCCTTGTGGTCTGGTGTGCGACGAAATCTCAGCACGGATACAATAGGCTCAACTAGCTTTTACCAACTTGCGTCATTTATGGCGTAGGCGAGATATCCATCTATCAACCAAAGGACGAATTTACTGCGCAGCAGTTCGTTCCGTTCTACTTTATGGCAGTGAAACATGGCCGGTAAGAGTAGAGGATATTCGTAGGTTACTAGTATTTGATCAAAGGTGTCTTCGAAATATTGCTCGTACATCCTGGGATCATCGAGAAAGTAATGCAGTTGTTAGGAAACGGGTACTAGGTAAGGATGGCAAATCAATTGATGAAGTAGTGAAACTTCATCAGTTGAGATGGCTGGGACATGTGTTACGTATGCCCAACTACCGACTACCACGACGTGCGATGTTTTATGGTGTAGGATTAGATTAGAAGAAAGCAAGGTGCGCTCAGGCCAAAACATGGCACAAATTTATGAAGTCACTGACAAGTGGACTGAGCCACGTTGCTAGGTGTAGACTACTTGGTTGAGATCCTCGAGACGATAGAAACCGATGGTTAGAAACCTTGAATGACATGGCTCAAATTCGTTTACAATGGCTCAGGTGCATCCACTCTTGTAGTGAAAAAGAACACAGTTGAGGACAACCGAATCATATTTTGCACAACATCACAGAGTTAATTGGTAAAATAGAAAAACCATAATATAATATTTAATTTGCAAAATGTTCAATAATTGTCACGGACTTCATTGTTCTTATATTTCTATCCTTGTTCTTCCTTTCCTGATCTTCCGAATCTTCTGCTGCCAGACATCACACTCCTGACTCGCGTTATATACTACTTATGTCAATATAAGTAGCACCCACCACACTCTTTGTGTTCTTGCAAATTCTAATCTTCTGAACTCTTGATGTCCCGTTTTTCCCCTTTCCAAGTTTATTTCACGAGATTATGCTCCTTAAATAAAAAACTCAAACCCTAATCTTTCCAATTACTGCTTATACTGTTACCGCCTCTACCACTTCGTTATTTGAATTGAAAATTGTATCTCTGTGCTAATGTGGTATGGCAACTTGGACTGATGTACGTACGTATGAAGTTCTACGTTGTTGCTGACTGACTGGTACGGTTGAAAACATGACTATTTATTAAAAGGTTAAAAATGAAGTTCCTTGGGTTTTTTGAATGATATAAAGTAATGAGTTACCATTGATATATTGATCGTTGTTAGAATTGTATTTTCAGTGAATATGTTGCTTTATGTTTGTGAAAGGATAAATTATTTTTAATATTGCCAGAAAAGCCATTCAAAGTTGATCAAACTTCTAATCTTACTTTATGCTCTGTACAAAGGAAATGAGGACCACATCTGTGTACCAGATCTACACATTAATCTTTCGTGTGCTTTCCAATAAGACGATGGATCGCAAATGTTTCGATAATTTCTATAAATGAATTGGTGATGATTGGTTTTGTAAGTATGCAACAGTCAGTTCTCAAGCACGTAAAGTTTATGTATCCTAAAATAGGATTTATAACTAATGTACTGCTGATGATCTAAACGCAAGACTGATTTAAAACAACAAATATGGCGGCTTGGTTTTTTATCAAGTATTTTATGAAATTTTCAGCATTATAGAATGTACTCGCCTTTAAATGATAACTTTTTCATAAACCTAATGTATAAGCTGGGTTTTGTAAAAAATGTTCTAATGGTTCTTTCTAACATCAAATTACATCTTTTTAATTAAAGGGGAACTAAACTGTACAATATTCAGTCAGCTGAGTCTCAGGATCGTGGTGTTGATTATGAAATTTTCTCGGATGCTTTTCAAGGACGTTCAAGTGAAAACCTCCCGGAAAGCAAACTTAAAGTGCCAATTTTCAAGCTCATGGAGAAAGCATCTCATCAGATAGATCAAATGTTAAGAAGGTAAAGTATGTCGAAGCATAAACGATAACCAATAAATGAGTGTCCATTACTGTAATCAATTTTCTCATTCCCAAATATACTTTAATTATTGACGGTATCGTATGTAGAATATGTACTATGGAACACAAATTTTGGCATCGTAATTCTTTGAAATTATTTCATATGATATACACTGGATCTTAAAGAGTTTTATTTATTGTAAACCTTTTCTGGTAGATGATTATGTCAGAACGTTTTTATTGAGTGGTTAAACAAACTCAACTGTAGTGGTTTTTTAGTTCAGTCGTATGGTTAGATAGATAAGCGTTCACTGTACTTGGTTTCCTTAATAAATGTAAACACAGTGAAGACGTCATGACTGATATAGACCTAAAGAAACTCTTCTGTCGGTCTATCTCCCGAATCTCATAAGCGAAACTGCAAGTGATATTCGAGGCATAAACGTGTTATTCCTAATCGTTAAATAATGAAACCATTTAAGGTACAAGAAAACCTCTTTCATAACAAAACAGTTGTCGAAGTATGTCAGACCTTTGTTTTCAACTATACCAGTTATCATAATTTTAAACTGTTTTTAACTATTCACAAACTTTGTAACAGAGTGGATTTATCTTGTCGTTCAAACTATCTTGTTTCCATTTTGTTCAAATTTTATAATTACATAAACAGGGGACTTCAGTGTTACTTGCCATTACCTGAATGTGAATAAACTGGGAAGATTAGGGAAAATGATGCTTAGCCTCCACTTAACCAGTGACGAGGTGCTCTATAATATTTTATTTTCCACAAAAATTCCGCAAGCAGATAATCTAGAAAAATAACCAGGATAACATTGAATTAATTCCTTTTTACGGGAAGAATACACATCTTGAGCAAGAATGTATCAAAAAAGTTTCAGTTGAATTATTGTTCTAGTGGAAATATATTGCTGATATTTTCCAAAGCGAAGCGAGACTAATTATAAATAAACACTCCTTCCAGTGGATAAAAGCAAACTTTTCCAGCTAATTTAGATGACTATTCATCGTGTAAAGTACTAATAATTATATTTTGTGACCTTTTTGAGACACATTGAAATTATTTAACAACGGTGTATTAATACATCCAAACTCATCAAATCGTAAAAATTAAAGACCTATAGCATCATAGTTAAAATACAAGTTAATGAAGCCAAGAACAACAAATGTAATGAGGAAAATGCTACAGACAGCATTAAAAAAGTAAATATCACTGATGGTCACTGTTTTAGAAGGGCTTTATTTATTATTTTATTTTTGAAGGGCTTTGATCACATAATTGAATATACCCATGAACCATTATAATGACACTTAGGTGGTTTGGTAAATTTTTAAATTTGCACTAGCTTCACTTCTTGACTTGCCATAATATACAGTCGGAAATCAAAATATATTTTGACTATTTAAAAAAAATAATGGTTAAGGTATTAATAATGGGTAATAAAGTGAGTTAAATATTAGACTTGATATGAAGGGAATGAAATGAAAATTTATTCATTATAATGACATGACCTACATCGTTTAAAGAAGGAAATTTGACTTGGTTATTGTCAAGACTAATTAAGTTTTGGTCTTGTATTTTTCACTTTTTTGTAAAATTACTTTCCTGAAGGATTTGAACAATTTCTATGACTTAAGACAATTGAATTCTACTGCACAACAAGTGAACATACACATATACATATCCATATACGTATTCAGTAATGGTTTTGAAATCCTATTCTAATAATTCCTTCTATTCTACAGGAACATTTATTTGATTTCTAAAATGATAACACGTTACACTTGTTCTCTGAATCAAATGATCTAATTGTGGGCATCAAAAATTTAGTATTGTAAAATTTTGTCTCCGTTGAAAGCATATAGGAAAGGAAGAATGTGGAGCACTTTGTCTGCTATTAACGAACTTTAATCATTGACTGTGAAGCATTTACCTTTTTATAATGCTAATAGTCGTACTTATTAAGTTAATAACATTTTTGAGTTACAGGGAAAAACTTTGAACACGACCAGTATTACCAAAAAGTACCATATTAAAATAAAACATAAATGTTTAAAGGATGACTGTGTCCTCACATTATTCGGATACATGGAAAATTTTGTTTTGCAGGAAGTCATAGAAATGATATAGGGTAAACGATAGGGTTATTAGTATTTTGTCCACTTGCCAAATCGATTATGAATTGTTTGTGCATGTCGTATTAATGGTTTTTTGAGGTGATATTGTATGTGTCGGTAATTTTTTTAATTCGGCCATATATATAATCATTATTATTATTCACGTTAAACTGAGGTATATATGCTAGTTTAGCAATATCTGTTGAGACAGTTTTAACTACAAAAGCTAAACAGATATTTTGTAAGACATTTTGCATTGTATGTATCAAATAACACTAAAAGGGCTTTCTTATTTACATATTTTAAGTTGTCTAGAGTTTTGAACTTTCATAAATGCAGGTCTGTGTTTCTCTTTTATTCCTGCGGCCATACTTAACAACAAATACTTAGAATCTCTATGACTCCGAAATTCTCAGGTTTTATTATTATTAAAAAAATGAAAAATTCAATGCTGAGTATCATTATGTTCTGGTAAAGTGCTCGCAATTATTTATTTTTTTGTTAACACACTGAAATTTTGGGTCGGATTAGGTTTTTCAGTCTTAAGTGCATATAGATCGGTTTTAATTACTTCAGATCAGAATTTTAAGTTGGGATAATGCAATGAGGAGACGAAGGTTATCAGGATTGTGTAATACACTCAACTCAAATAGCCTCGTGTTGAAATGGAGATTCAAATTAGCCATCGATAGGACATTTTATGCAACCTAACTCGTCATTATTTAAAAAGCAAGGTCTATGTTTCACCGAAAACCCAAACAGAACGTGAGCAATTGTGTCTATAAATTTACATATATGTGCGTACATAGGGGGGAGCGATCTTGCTCTGCAAGTAAAGGTGGCTGAACACACACCTAAATGGCTGTAAAACAAATGAATTCAAATGGTCAAGTAAGACCATAAGATAGACAAATATCTTCCTTTATTGTGAGACACTTGGTTGAGACAGGTCATATGGTTGATATCAAGTCAACCTTTATAGTTTTGTACAAGGCTTTCAAGGGCGTATACCAAGATTTATTGAAGTATTGGCTATACCGAAATGAAACCTCCCTTGATGTGTTTAAGAATAATTTATTCTTACTCTTAACCTACCCTGATAATACTGATCTATTATCCAGCATGGTGTTCACATTGTTTTTATGTATATTATTATTCTTTGTTTCCACTTAGCTTTTAGTTTGTCTGGTTGACCTTTTATTTTTCATATAAAAATGTCCTAACAAGTCTATGTGTGATCAGATTGTTCGGAATGTATTGCGTAAATAAACTGCATAATCCTGATAACCTTTGTCTTCTCATTGCATTATCTAAGGTTACCAAATTGACTAGTTGTTTCAAATTTTTTAACAAACAACAGAACTAACAATATATTTTTGGAGATTGTTAAGTTTTGGTCGGGATCATAAGTTGATTGATGTCAGAGCAACACTGAGAACCTGGGAGTACTGGAAGGCCGTTTCGTTCTAGTAAGGGGCTGCTCAGCAGTGCATATTCACGATCCCACCGGCGGGGACCAAACTCAGAGCCCTCGGTCTCGCACGAGAACGCCTAACCTCTAGAACACTGAGACGGGATCCATCCGTGTTAATGTCTAACTTCAACTAATCCACGATATTGCGCAGCCATCTTCCATTGTCGTGCAGTGATTCCAGGCTTTCAGTGGTGGTCTAACATTGATGGATTCATGATTTCAGTCAAAATAAAATAATCATTATTGAACTAAAGGTTATTTAAAAAAAACTTAAATCTTGATAAGCTCTTTTTTCAACAGTCTCGGAATAATCTTGTATAAAGTACTTATTCACTTGGATACTGTTTACATACGTTTTTCTATGATTAAAAGTTGTTACATAAATAAATCATAAATAAGCATCTATAAAGTTAATGTATATTATCGTTTTAATTAGCTGTAAAGTTGGTCAAAGACATTGTTCCGTACTGAATTTTACAAAGAGTATTCTACCGAATGGAGCTTGTTATACACTAGCTGGCGATCTAACCGGTAAGTTAACACGAGAATTATCACTTTCGAGTATTCACTCTCATATGATTAAAATTTCGCTTTCTGTAGTTTACATGTATTCACAAGACATTCAAATAGCCATTTGGTTGTCTTTAATTAGTTTTAGAAAAGAAAGAATAAATGTATGCTTTCAAATTTCTGTACTTAATTTCATATGAACGTATGATCGGCATTGTTCAAGTTACCGAAATCCTCTGTTTATGACCGATCATTATTTTTCACCCACACCATATCTATCCTTCAAAAAGAACTATTATTCTTTTCAATTGAAAACCGGAAAAATAACTACCGAATTCAGGGATATGGATTACTAATGCAAGTCTACATGATATTTACTATACATATCAAAAGAGAATTTGTTAAAAATTTCATTCTTCTTTTATATAGTTATAAAAAAGCACCATCTTTACCAATATGAGCAACAACCAGTGATGTTACATTATTTTTAATATGGGACTGGAATTAATGTAATTTTTCAATGCTGTTGTTAGCCTCTTAGTTAAACGTTGACTTGATGAAATTAAGCATACAACAGTATTTGGCAATAGTTGTCGGTCACAGAAATATACTAAGTATAATGGTAATATGCCTTTCTTTAAACATTAATTATAAACAATTTAGCTACAGTGATCAATTTTACCTAAAATGCACTGATGACATTTATTCATTTCCAAAACTCTGCCTAGAGCAATAATAATATTATTAAAAAAGTTGTTTTTTGTGAGTAAAAAGACTGATAAACTTTGAGAAAACATTCTTGTAGAGAATTTTAATCATTATGCAACAATGATAACAGTTCAATTGCACAATAAAGATAATAGTAGTAATTATTATTACTAATAGACGAACTTATACATCTATTTATTTACTTATTTATGAATTAGAATATCGATAAATCATTTAGAATTTCACATTCATTATACACTACATCAGATCGCATAGACGGCATTAAACAATCAAAACAAATGAGTGGTAAAAAGCTGTTAAAAAATGATAGGGTTTAATTTTCACAAAAAAGTCCTAAAGATGAGAACAAATTGTTGTAGTCTGTATCGACACTAAAAATACAAATTAATAGCTAGATTTGATAGAACTAATATTACTGGTTCTGTTTTATTAGTATGAAGCCAGTACATACTTTAATCAATAATAAGTAGATTTGTGCGACTAGAATTTTTATTACTGTTGGATTATGGAGTATTTTGAATATTTATTTATGGTGAATAGTCTGTCTTTTATAAAAAAAAGTGATAATATTTTAAAACTGCAAAGATTGGAAATATATCACAGTTCCGGCAACGGAACATGATCTATACAGCATGATTAATTGCGTAACCTTTCTGTTGATATGGTCAAACAAACAATTAAGTATTGATACAGAAAACTGCGTAATTAGATTATAAGCACAACTCTTTTAGGAAAAATACGAAGGGATACTAGAGTTTGTCGTGAATATGGCTATTTGGTTATTTATGGTTCTTCGAAAAATAAGCATAAGTAGAGAATCATATTTATATTACAACGTCAATAAATCAAATTATTGCCGATTAATACCATGATTTGCGTAAGACATTTTTGACTGCAAGATTATTTTCTAACTATCAAAAAATAGATTGATAAGATCATTTAAATTATGCCATTTCACCGATTCGAGCAATATTTTTTGCAGCAAGTTGTGCGTTGAACTGGAACATACGTTCATTGCATATAGTACGAACAAAACAAACTACTTTACATTATTTCATTATAAATTTATATCGCTTAGGAGTGTTGTAACTAAATGAATTTTATTAGTAAAATTAGGTAATCGGTTAAAAAACTAACATCTAAAAGCTACTTTTTGGGAAGGAAAATGATTAAGCAGTAGTAAGAAGTAAGTTTATTTGCCTTTGAGTTCTATAATTTCAATAGAACAGTGTATCAAAATTTATAATAATGATTGATGACGATTAGGTAGTTGTTTGTACTGATTAGCCTGAATAACATACGTATACTGTTTATTCAATGAATGTAATGTTCTAACAGATATTAAGCAAATTTGATAAAGAATGGTATGGAGTAACTAGAAAACACCCATTTTTTATGAAAATGATTAACTACTGAACTGAAATCACTTTATAAAGCTAACAAAACTTAAAGACAGGGATGTTTCATTGTTCATTCACATAATGATCTTCATATGAAAGTATAGGCCATATATGTGAAAAAGCTTAATAGACCAAACTCGCTATACAGATTGACAGCGTCCAATCTGCCTGAACACATTTACCTTTATATTGTTTGTAAAATTGGTATCTTAATAAATTCTCTAATTATCTTCGTCAGTGTACAGTCCATTTTACATGACTATTATCCAGGTTTTTAGCATGAAATAAACAAACCAGTCGTCTAAATTGTAGCACAAAGTTCGGAATAAATAAATGCACCAATCAGTCTTCGTAGTTTAATCTCGAAATTATTCACCTATATGTTCCAAATTAGACAATTTTGTGTTCGCCCTTATGACCAGTTCTTTTAATAACACAAAGGACTAAACAATGTACAAGTTAACATTGAGAATAATTACATAAAGTAAACATATGGATAATCGGTACAACTTGACTAACTTGGTCGGTTTCCTATCATTCAGTTGTATTTGTTTTATTTTTCATAATTTATTTGCAAAAAGAAATCTACAAAAACATCAGTTATTATAACACAACACCCAACAAACGCTTTACTGTTAAACAAATTATAACAACAATTAGTAGTAACTGTGAAAACCTAAGACGTTTTGTCTCGTTGAGCACGGTTCACCTGGTCTCAAACAAATGATGTAATATTATCAACAGGTTTTGAAATCCCTCTCTTTTGCTAAACAGTAAATCGTAACAAATTTGTAGCTCATACATTAATCACAACAGTTATTACTATTACAAATACTATAGGCAAGTCCATAGATTTTTCTCATTACCTTCATTTGTTCCATATTAGACTCTATTACTAGTTCTAATAGTTTGCTTATTTCCTCAAACCAGTGTTTCACAAATGTGCCTAGTTTAGTCTGATTATCTGAGTTCAGGTAATAAAGACAAATAATAGTAGAGGAAAAAATATCAACCTATATGCTTTATAAAATTAGATTTGTGTTTAAAATACTGTTTCATAAGAAAAAAATCAGTAACATAACTGTTCGCTAAGTTGAAACCAGTTTGGTAGATTTTTGAAGGAGTTATGGCTCAAAAATAAGGTCAATAATCGATAGACTTTAAATTACCAATTCATACCAATTACTTGAAGTTGTATTTACTAAGTATCCTTTCCTCCAAAAATTTCCAAGTTCAAATGATACGTGTCACCATAAGATTGATAGATAGCTTTTAGCCAAAACACTATGATTTTATCAAATTCAGTAATGCTTACTATATAGTGACCTTATCACTTTGTAGATGAATGGTTTTGAAGGAGGTTCATATCAACAGTTACTTTATTTTACTATGTCTATATTGCAAATTGTATTATGAAGAATGGTCAAGATTAATCACAACTCTTAGAAAATTTCTATATGCAAAAATAACCAGTCAGTTATAGATGTTCAATGTTTTAATTAAACAGAAGTAATAAGTGATATTTTCGGGAGAATATAAAGTAAAGTGATTTTTCGGGGATTGTTTTGCTATTGGTTAGGAATTGTTCTAAATAGAAATCAGTATTTTACTGACTGACATGAATTTTTCTAAAGTCAATCAAATATTCAACATGCGAACTTACTTAAATACTTACACTCCTCTGGCGTCAAATAAACAAATTTAAATGAATTTAATTGTTGAATTCATGAGCCAATTAAAGCCAGACCACCATGGAAAACCTGGAAGCACTGGACGATCGTTTTGTACTAGTAAGGGACTCCTTACAGTGTATATCCACGATCCCGCTCGTGGAATAAGAATCCAGAACCTTCGGTCTCTCGCGCGAACACTTAACCTCTAGATCACTGAGCTGGGGCCCATCGGTGTTAATGTCTAACTCTAACCGTCCACCATTGTCTTCAATGACGGTGGACGGTGGCGTAATTTCGTGGATTGGTTGACGTCAGACATCAATAGTGTTGGATTCCGGCTCAGTAGTTTGGAGGTTAAGCGCCCTGGGTTCGAATTCCGCGAGCAGGGTCGTGGATATACACTGCTAAGGAGTCCCTTACTAGTACAAAACGACCGTTCAGTGCTTTCAGGTTTTCCATGGTGGTTTGGCTTTATTCGACTCATGAATTAGAATATTAAATCACTAAAATCTCCACAAAACCCTCATTTTGAATGAATTCTTTAAGAATACATTTGAAAATATTCTTGTCTTTCACTGAATTCGTGCGGACTTTGTTATTGTTGGTCACAAAAGGACAGGAAAAGAACATTTGGCTGAACTAAATACTATCTTGTACAAAAAGTGTATTTCCTGATAAACTTCTGGTAAATCCAATCGTTTCGTGAATCGATTGAACACGGTGTAGCACCTGTGTATGAATCACTTTAGGTAAAATAAATATCATACATGATAAACAGAAAGGAGTAAAGTTTATTCGGAAACAGGTGATCACAACAAGGCATGTTATTATAACTGCGTTAATTATCAACTGAATTAGTCTTCATGATATTATGTTAAACTTCAATCTATCTCCTTAATATTTATAGCTTAACCTTATTTATTATGGTTAAGAAGGAAGTGGAAGCATGCTTTACTTGGAAATACGATTCGTCTGTATTGCACACTCAGTATGCTAAAAATTGTTTAGTGAAACCTAAGATCTAGAACTTCAGAGATCTACATATTTCCATTTCATCTTATTTACAGTAGGGTACGATCGTCACTTAGTGATAACGATAACTATAAGCTGTAAACACAGTTCCGTAAACCATATTGCTTTATGAACTCTCATTTATTAATAGAATAGGTATGCCTGTCATTATTTTAAGAAAGTTTAAGTTATTGTAGGGAAACAAACTAATAATAGTGTTACTGTAGTGTTTAGCGTTCCAATACATTGAAAGGACGGCGTTACGGAACACACCGAAAGATACAAATGTACGGTTGAAAGCTGTGAATTTGTATGGTGTAAATACTTTGTAACTTCTCGCCATAAATATGTGTCCCTCCTACCTATTGTCGTGTTTTACATGATTAGTTTTATTTTCTATAAAACATCATCCTTATTAGTACAAAGTAACTGAGTTGAACTTGACGAATACTAACAATCGGAATTATTCTAGAAAAAATATGTTTCCCCACTTTATGTTTACAGGTATCACTTAAATAAATCTCTTGTCGAATCTCCGTTCTTAGTAAATGAAACATTTAGATCTTTGAGAACATAATTTGTCAGGTAATACTAAATTTATAATAAATATTAATAAAATTCAAACCAAATAAACCATTGAAAAATTACTTTGCAAATGTGATACATAATGTCACTCATTTATAAGAATGTAACAAAACTTAGTGGTCTTTTTGCGATAAGGGCTGGAGATTAATGAAGTTAAACAGCATAATAACATGTAAAGCTATAAGTTCATCAAAAAACATAATGAGCCACCCATCATGAATATGTTAAAGGTAATTCACTTCAAACTCTGAAGCCTATAACAAAAATAGGATGACTACGTGACAACGTTGAAATACTTATTGACATCATTTATCGGAAAAATTTTGTTTCCAGTTTACAAATACCTTTTAATTTGCTTACACCATAATTTTCAATCAATTCTTTCTAAGGAAATGCTTTGAAAATCTTTCCAGTTTGTATTATTTCTGCAGCTGCTTCGATTAAATTTCAGACAACTTTTATATCTCTGTTTCGTTGAATTGCAAACACATTAAAGGCAAGAACTATGCATCTAAAACAATCAAGGATGATACATTTTATGCTTACTCTTTTAACACTATTGTAATAAAAAATTTTAATTTCTCAATCTTTAGGCATAGACGAAATTCAATTAGTGTTAGATCCACAAAGTTACGATTATTTGGTACCGAATCAAGGATTTATTGGTTTTCGCATTTTACTACATGGATATGGTGATTCCTTATGGGCATTAATACCAACTGCTGTTTATGCTGGTCCAACATTTCATACTATGTTACGTGCAGTTGGCCTTAAAAAGGTGAATAATGTTTTGTTAAACTACATGATGCTTTAAGATTTTTATAAACATAATTGATTAATTATTGTATTATCTTTCATAGAACTTAATCTTTACGATGCTTTTTAAAGTATCCCACTTAAAAAACTTATTACTCCAGAATGTTTAGTTTCTTGAGCCGTACATTTCTGTTGATTTTTGAAATATTTTCAAAGAACAAGTTTAACTGTAAAAAACACGTTTTTAGAATGCTCTTGCTACTTTCCACGTATATAAATATTCTACTTAATAAAAATAATAGTTGTATATGTTAAATTAGAAAATATCCAAACTTTTGACTAGGATCAATCTTTCTGTAGGAATATTTCGTTGAGAAAATAATTAACTTATTTATGATAATTATCTTAGCAGATAGGTGATGTATTAAAAATACAAACTTTCAAATTCTTCATATTAAAATCGCTTAACAGCTCGCGTTCAAATTCTTAAAAAAATTATGAGGCATATAAAATATTAGGTAATGAGACTTTTGGCAAAACAATATGAAGAACGATACAGTCACACACTTTAGTATTACCTTTATGATACTCATTAATATTATTTACCACTAGGTTTAAGAGCATAATTTCTGTGCATTTTTTTCATAAAATGTATAGATATAAGTAAAAGATCAGTTTTGTATAGTGAATAAATCATAGTTTCAAAAGAACTTCTATTCCACAATGATCTATTAATCTTTGTATAGGAATAGGTTAAATGTTCACATTTTAAATTTTTATTTATTATTCCACATCTGGTTGAAATAAACAAGGTCACTGATATTATAACCAGAGATTAGTGGTAGCTAGCATTGTAATCCAGAACGGTCGTTTCGTCCTATTTGAAACTTGTCAGTTAGATGTACCTCCATCCCAGAGTTCATGTCTTCTCCAGAACTCGGATCCAGTACCGTCCTCTTCAAATGCCACCGCGTCATCCACTTAGCTACTGGGTCCAGATAGACACAATCCATCTTTGCTTATAGTGCTTGTGAACTAAGCCAGTATCAAGGGGATTAAAACACGATGTACATATGCCAATAAGCGACTGATCAATCACAATCTTAAACATCAATAAGAAGATTTAAACAAACAATACAAAAATGAATCATAGTCACTGTTATTTAATTTCCTAGTATTTTTTTAATAGTTGAACAATAATTTACTTATTTTGGACGGGACAATAAAACAGTAGACGTCATCCTCGTTTGTAGCCACAAAAATATTATTTTATAAGTACAAACTATATGTTTCATCCTTCTTGCTTACTTAATAAGAATTGCTTTAGTTTTATAAAGCCTAATAATAATATTTGTAAATCTTTATTGATTGATAAATGATTTCAAAGTAAAAAAAACAAACATTTAGTTGGTTATTTAATTCATAAACCAATGATTAATGGATTAAATTAATTCCATCTAGTTTTTTGCTGTAATAATATGTCATACTTCAATTAATCTAAATTAGAATCGTATACGTTTGGTTGAAAACAAAATGACATTTACTAGTATTATTAATTTAAAAATATTAGAAATAACTGTTATAGGTGTTCCCTATTGAATGATATGTATGGTATTATACATAAAATACTATTTGTCTAAAAAATATCATGTATATTTATAACTTGAGATAACTGAAAGTGAGAAGTAAACTGAAAGTAAACGAAAATGCTAAATGAGAATCAGCATTCGGTTTTGAGTTAGTCGAATGAAGATAATAATTCCAAATGTTATAAATAGCTTCACTGAAAGCAGATAGGGTTGTAAGAAAACACTAACGTATATTAATGTTTAGTGTTAGTTAACTACTGACGTGCACTGATTAACATTTCAAAATGTATTCCCACTTTTTCTTTTTTTAACCTAAAGGAAAGTCTGGCTAAATTGATTTATTTATTATGCGATTCTTAGTGAGTATGGTCTTCCTGGTCTCACACATTGTCCGGAAGTTCCACGTACCTATAAAAATTGGTCGTTCCAACAGAGTTTCGCTGAACCGAATGAAAGACTCAGAAGACACTCAACTTCAAGATTAACAGGTTTGATTCCGTAAGGATCGGTCGTGCACAGACCAAATCGCGACACTACGGATCATTGTCGAACGATCACTTGAGTGGAACTCGTCACTATACATCAACTTCCTTGAATATGATAAGGCGTTTGACAATGTGGGCAGGGAATCACTCTAGAAAATTCTTCGACAATATGGAGTTCCTGAGAAGATTGTCAATATTATCCGGAACTCATACGACGGACTATAGTGCAAAGTCGTGCATGGAGGACGGCTGACAGATGCAGTCCAAGTAAAGACTGGAGTCAGACAAGGCTGCCTACTCTTTACCCTTCTCTTTCTTCTGGGATCAACTGGATTGTGAAGACCTCGACATCTAAGGCAAAACACGGCATACAATAGACAGCTCAGAGCCAATTAGACGATTCAGACTTCGCAGATGACCTAGCCTTCCTATCCCATGCACGCGAACAAATGCACATGAAGACGACTAATGTATTAGCAGCATCTGTATCACTATACCTTAACAAACATAAGTGAAAAAGCAAGATCCTCTAATACGATACAGAGAACATCAACCCAATCACACTTGATGGAGAGACTCGGCAAAAGGTGGGAACATTTACGTATCTGGGCATCATCATCGATGAACAAGGAGGCTCAGATGCAGACGTGAAGGTGAGGATTGGCAAAACAAGGGCCATATTCCTTCATTTGAAGAACATATGGAACTCAAAACCACTGTCAATCAAAATCAAAGTCACAATCTTTAATACGAAAGTCAAAACAGTCCTACTGTACGGAGCTGAAACTTGGAGAACTACAACAACCACCATCAAGATGATACAAGTATTTATAAACAGCTGTCTACGCAAGATACTCAACATCCATTGGTCGGATATCATCAGCAACACAATTCTGTGAGAGAAAACAAACCAGGTTTCAGCTGAGGAGGAAATCAAGAAATGAAGTTGGAAATGAACAGGACATACATTACGGAAATCACCAAACTGCATCACGAGGCAAGCCCTAACTTGGAGTCCTGAAGAAAAGCGGAAAAGAGGAAGGCCAAAGAACACATTACGTCGGGAAATAGAAGCAGATGGGAAAAGGGTGAACAACAACTGGAAAGAACTGGAAAGGATTGTTCAGGACAGAGTTTGATAGGGAGTGCCGGTAGGCGGTCTGTGTTACTCCACGATGAGTAACAGGCGTAAGTAATAAGTAAGTACGGAAGAAGCTCTAAGATGGAACGTTATGTCAATATTTAACCACTATTTTAATTTTTATACTTTTGAACGATTTGAACAACTGTGTGATTATCAAGGATTATTACTATTGAACATCTACTTCCATTTCTGACAGTTGATATGTCTTGGAATACGTTGAAACTAACGTCCAGTTTCAGTTCGTTTTGAATTAACCTGTGACTAAGTTGGATTCATAATGGAATCTTTTTTAATTGCTAAGGTTGCTGAGGTAAACAATAGTTCTCTATTACGAAATATACGGCATATTTGAAAGACTGGATTAATTTTTTTGTTTTCTCGTGTTTTCAAAGATAAGAATAATTTAGGGAAAACTTCTTAGGGTAAGTTTGGTTACATATTTTTTCAGACGATTATTGTTTCTCTTTTTACAGTCCATCATTTTTCACAATTTTATTATGATAGTGTAATAGGAAACACAGTGGAATTCGACTCTACAACCTGTATTGTCCCTTAGGTTACCTAAAAATGTCACAACGATATTCATAAATATTTACTTCATATAAAAGATCTGGAAGCATAATTTTGGACGTAATAATTATTTTTTTCATAAACTTCCGTAAATTTATTAGCGGATTAATTCCCTTCTACACATATGTGTTGTTAAAACTAAATATCATATTTTTTTGTTTTTAATGAGAATAAGGCACTGCTTAAAAATGAAATAAGAAACATCGTACAAATGAAGAACTCCATAATTTACTGTCTGTCGCATAATTCATATATCTAGTGGTCATATATAGGATGTTATGATTTGTATGTTATGGTTTATCGAATGTCTCATGAAATGTAGGTTTTGAAGCCTGCGTATGATCGAACTATGCATATGCTCTAAAAAAGAATTTATCTCATCTATTAATAATAATAGTTATGGAGAACTAAGAATTCATTTCTTAGCTTAAAATTATATTCTGTAAATCACATTTCTTCTAAATATATAAACTGTCTTTTTTCGATATGTTCCTGTTGTTCGGTTTTTCCTCCTCTCGTTTTACTACAAGCAAAAGTCAGGATTATTTACTGACGTTTATTTCATTCTCTGTTTTGCCTCATTATGTCAAGAGAAATAGTACTATCATTTGTAACAAAAATTGTTTCAGGCTTCTTTTGGTATAAGAGATGTTTAAAATGTAAAAATTATTTGTTTAACTAAACCTATTGACACAACTGGGAGGATGTGGGATATTATAATTGCATTGATATAGCTACCATTTACGTCATTTTCTCAAATACGGTGGAATATATTTAACTTTTGAAAGTTGCGGAATTATTTGGTGTAAAATAGTCATTTTTGTTTATGTCAAACTGTGTCAGAGTTTAGTACACATTACAGCTGTATCGTGTCAGAATAATATAAATGATTAACTATTCTTGTTGGAGCTTTGAAGAACGTTTATTTTGTAGTGTACGAAGCCTAATAATGTATATCAAATTAACTGATAAACTCTGTGGTTCACAAGAGTGACCAAACATTGGGGTCTGAACAGATAATATCAACGGAGGAAATAAGCTTTGGAGAAAAATAAGTGGAAGAACAGGTCAAAGTGTGTCGATTTGATTTTAGTCGCGTTAATACTTTGTGAAAATATTCAGAATTTCGAAATGATGCATCATTGGATTGATATAATTTGTTTTTATTCTCAGTGATGTTTGAAATCCCTTTTAATAACATTTTAGCAAGTAGTTACAGTGTTGGTAGTAAATACTGACTGTTGAACTAAAATGAACCATTTTTTTATTATTTGTTATTTGTTCATGATTTATAGTTTTACTGTGATATCGCCACATTTTATACAGTAATCTTTTTAGTCTTTTTAATTATGTAATATGTTAGGCAAATTGTCAAAGAAGTATAAATATAATTTTATGGGCGATTATTTTTAAAGGTAGATAGTCAAACTTAATGATTATAACTGATATCATTATCATACAATTTTAATAGTCACTGTTAATAATTCTAAAGTTGACTGTAGTAAACTTGGGTAATGAGAAGTAATTTTGCGTTTGGATATAGCATTATTGTTTTGTTTAAATTGAGTTTGAAAGTATTAACATAACACTGTTTTTTTTATTATTTCTATAAAATTATTACATAATTTAAAGCAGTAACAAGAACTCAGAAATGTATGGTTTTGATTATTTTTATTATTTTTGCTTCATTCTTACTGTTGAAACTGTATAAAGACTGTATTAACTTAATAAGAATATTAAATTAACTACTTTTACAGGCTGCTATTTAAATGAAAAATCTATTAGACAATTAAAACTCATATTTCACTAAAAGGCTGTAAAGTAAATTATGTATTTGTAATGAAGAAAAAACTGGATGAAAAAAGAATGTTATTATTTCTATTTTTCTTAATTAATTATCATCACACTTAAAATTTAAGTCATATATATATATATATATATATATATATATATATATATATATATATATATATATATATAATTATTGTACACGTAAGAGAATTCCAGTACACTCATTTCTGTCTCTACCACTTTTTTGTTACCATAGCATCTGTTTCTTGTCTTTATATCGTCAGGATGCAACAAAAGGTAAAGGTATATACCCGGATTCATATTTCTTTGACCATAATATATGTTTATGTGTATACAATATTGTACAAGCCTACTATGATTCTCCTATATCTATCTATGCATCTAGTAGAAATCTATTAGACATAAGCTGATTTCCTGTACATGGGATAAAACCAGAGAAAAAATATCACTAGATTACTACAGTAAGATACAGAAAGTAAACACATACTTACTAGTAGTAAAAAAATGTAGGTAAACACTAGATTTTATAAGAAAAGAGCAAAGAGATGTAGGAGAATATAATCTATGTATTTCTCTAGTAAAGTTGACTGATTTTTTAATAAAAATAAATTAAAAATCACTAATATTTTTTTGACATTCTATTGAAATTAAATTCCGGTTCATTCATATCAATTTCTATGAACGTTTTTTAACCTCCTTGTTTTTTAATTTTAAGTTTTACTACAACATTATACAATTATGGATATACACAATATTTACATTGTAAAGTTAATCGAGTGCTTATAGGTTAATCATAGTAACTCTCTCTCTCCTATATATATATATATATATATATATATATATATATATATATATATATATATATATATATATATATATATATATATATAATTTCTTTAAATGGATGAATTAGAGTAAATTAATTGTAATTTTCCTTGTTTTTTTAGGGCTAAACAGGAATGAGTAGTTTCTCTTGATTTATTATTTTTTCTTACGGTTTAATTAAAATCATTCAAAACATTCTATGATATGTTTCTATTATGTTGAAATAAATATTATTATTGTTAGTTACTTACTGTAAATCATAGTGAATTAATACAACTATGGCCAATAATAATAAGAGTAATAATAAAAAGACCGACGTTAAATCATATAAACAAAGTCCCCTTTCTTCTGAAATTAATTCTAGTATAAGTAGATGTAAAGAAAAAAGTAAAAACCAAAGTAATGGCAATGTTATTAATTGTAATATTACCTACTTTTAATGTCGTATAACTTTTTCTTCATTTCCGCTTGTCAATACAATTAAAAAATTTATGAATTTCAACATATGTAGTATATGGATTAAGATTGTTAATTATATAACATTCTGTGAAAAGAAGTTGAAAATCATGAGATTAAGAAAAATTTGAAACTCAAATGTTTTGAAATGGTTTTTCATCCTAAAACTTACAGGTAAAAATGATGCTCGAAAATCATAATTTTGCGAAGCTTAACTCATGTTCAATCTTTCTAATTGTCCCTTTATTTTCTATTCCAGTCCTTTCAAGAAGTTTCAGAACAAAAGCTTTTAGTATTAGTTTAGCAAATGATTGTAGAGACTTTTTGTATTGAAATTTTGAAAATTTCTGCTTAGTACTTTTCAAAATTTCCCTTACACCTTGTTGCATCATCTGTGTGTGGTTTATTTTTTTTAATATATATTTCCAAATAAATTATTTTTTCATTTTCAAGTCTGATTTTTTGTATTATAGATTTATAAACAACATTGTACAAGTCAATCAATCTGGGCTAGTTGTATGCATGACTGCATGCAAGAAATGTTATTAGAAAAATGTCATTGTCAATTGCCAGGTTAGTTTTTTGCTTCTATTCACGTTTCTTTTGCTTTTTGTTTGATTGAATTTCATAGTTTATTAACGGCAGTCACAATAATAATAGTAATGGTCATAACAATCTTAATTTTGAATTAAAATCAATCATAATGCCTTGTGAAAAACCAGTAATTATTTGTAATTCTTAAAGTCAAGTTTTCGAATTTCTGGTATGTAGACATTATATCAATCAGTAACCAATCCATAGCTTCAAAACTAAGTAGAATTCAATAATGCAACTTCAAATAGTTTTATTCAGTTGATGTGAAGCATACTTGTTCTTTGATGTACAATTTCAGTAAATAACGAAGGGCAGTCATTTGAACCATGGGATTTGCTATGCACGCATTCAGTTATACGTTGTACCATCACAAAGTTCAAGATAAAAACAAACAAGGAGTTAGGAACTCAAATTGTAATATTAGTAGTTGTGGTTAATTAAACAATATATTGTTAGATAAAAACAAGTGAAATTAGCTAACAGAACGTCTTTCGGTAATAGTTTTGGAACTCACAAGTTAGAAGAAAATAAAGAATAAATGATCTTCTGTCACTGCAATTGCATTAAAGCTATATTCCATTGAAATAATGTGATAATATTCGAATCAGAAGCTCAATATTTATATATCCGATTATTGAATTACTGAGTCACAGGATTATTATTTACAAAATGTTATAAAATTTAATACTTTTGATTGTAGACTAAACTGAATGCCACTAACCACATATAAATATCCTAAAATATTTTTATGTTTCATAGTTAAAACAAGAACAAGAAATCCAGTTCATGAATGGTGCTATATTTCTAAATTCGATCTAACTGAACTTACCAAAAACATATACTTATGGGGAAACCACTTATGCATTTTATGTATAGGTGTTGCATAAATATTTTTATTTCATTTATCTTAAATTAATAGAGATGTCATATTATTGTAATGTAATTCATTAATGACTGACTAGAGCATATTTTCTTTAAATAATCTTATTCCCTATGTTGAATGAAAAATGATTATACATAATTACTTTAAACAGATACGTTACAAAACGTTCTCAGTTAATAATAGTTAAAATTGTGAAAAACTATGAACTTTTGCGTTATTATTACCGACGTCTAATTAGAAAAATTACTGATTCATTTTGATAGTTATTAATTTTTCTTCAGTCAAATTCCAATAAGTCTTAGGTTTTATTTTCATCATATTTTGTAAAACGTTTAGTAAACTATATGCTGCTGTATTTAAGTTATGTTCTGTTAGGTTAGTTTTACTAAAGGTATGTGTTTTAATGTAACTCGATCCAGTATTATGTGAAATGCAACAAAAAATTACTCATAATAATTGTAACCACATGTAAGTATTCCTGAATACGTAAACATTCATATAGAACTTGTATATGTTTGAAAGCAAAATATGGCAGTGAACTGTCACCAGACTCCAAGATTTCTGTGATGAACTATAAATATAACACCATAAATGTTGATAATTTGGCATAATTTAGAAGAACAATTCAATAAATTAGTAGATAAAGACAGCACTGCTTACTGAAGTTGATTTATTTTTCAGTAAATGGCTAGATGATTAATGAAAGTTGATGAGAAATCAAACCGAATATCCAGAGTACAGATAAATATTTTTATTATGTCACAGATTTTCAATTAATCAGGTTCTGTAATTGAATAAGCTTAAATTAATCTTTATTTTAATCTGTTATACAAATCGGTTGAGGACGTTCGTATGCAATTTAGTATCGACTTACTTTAATAAGTAAATTTACACGGACATTCTAAGTTTAATCATTTGAGCTTTTAAAGTAACTTTTCAACCTGAGTGGTCAGAGAAGTAAGAAACTTATATGTAACTATGATGAAACCTTCGGGTCTGATAAATGTAAAAAGACGGGATATTTTTGATCACTTAAATCTATCTATGAAATATTATTCTCATACGATAATGACTAGAAAGCAGATAGTTTATCTGACATCTGAGAATACTTGTCATATAATTTAAGTACATTTTTGCAAAAATTACAGCATATGCAACATTGTCGAATTTGCCTGACTTCTATAAATTCTTTAGTCACAAGTTTAATTTATCGAATAGAAAATATTAACGATGAAATACAACAGAATATGAATATTTCAAATGTCATTTTTAGTGAATTTTTCCCACTTTCTTTACACTTGAGAGTCCTCCACTTAAGATTAGTGATTTTATGTCATTTAATCGATAATAAATATTGATCTATCATTCTGTTAATTCTTGTTTTCTCTTTTGTATTTCTTATTTGTACATTGTTCCATTCATCACCTGATTCTCTTTGTGTTAAAAAAGTTCAAATTTTTCGCAATGTTTCTCGAGATGTTTGCACTTTGTAACCTATCAATTTTATTTTCGTTAAAGATTAACATTGTATCTGTCTTGTGTCCAGAATAGAAAATAAATATGTACTCCAGTTTAATTAACATACTGTTAAAATATTTCCTTGACAAATAATTTTATTCGACTGTATCTTTATTTTTTTGTGATAAGCAACTACGTATTTTATTGTAAATGAACTCGGACTTCTATTTATATGTTTACATTACTTTCATTCTCTTACAACACAGTTTACACATTGACAGTCACAATCATTTGTGCTCTAAGTTCATTGGTTATTAGTAGATTTGTTTACATCTTGGTATTTTATGAGAAAAAACAGTTGAGTGTACAGTTTATAAACAGTGAAGAAAGTCGATGTCTGTATAAAAATAAACGAGAGATTTAATAAAATATTACATAAGAAATAAGAAATATCGTAGATAATTGATATTTTACAACTTTTTGTATGAAAGCAATCAACTAGTGATTTGTCATTGAGTAGCTTCTTTCAATGTTATTAAATTCAATTTGGAATTATTTAAATGCCAACACATTTTTCTATACCTTATATTCTTAATACGGCTTTAAATCAAATGTTTGGATATAAAAAATTGTTATCCTCTGAACAAGACATAATATTTTGCTATTATTGTGATTATTTATAGTGAATTACCATTGTTAAACTATTATTATAAACATTTTGTTGTGACAAGAAATCATAATTTTGTTTTTGAAAAGGTTCCTGGAAAATTATTTATTTCGTTATTGTAGTAGTGGTTAATTCCTTGTTGTCTTACAGATTGTACTGTTTTCGAAATGATGAGATGTGGATTAACTATGAATTCAATGATTGGTGAGTCAATTATTTTTGCATTTATAAATTTTACACGGTTTTATGATTTTTTTTTAAAGATTTCTTTTATGTTTGGAAGCTTTAAAGGGCTTCAATAGTACATGTCGAAACAATAATTTAACAGTGAATAACTTAACAGAATAATTGGTAATTACAATAGAAATAAAAAGGTGTAATTTAAGAAAGTCTGTTAAAAATGAAGGTGTCTATTGCATTTCATTCTTATTTTAGTGAAATTGACAGTCCTATAAGTGATAAGTGAAATGCAATGAGTCATATCTTACGAACTACGGACTCTCCATTTTTATGATGAAGCCAGTTAATCAATCCTTTTATTTGATTTTCATTTTATCTTCACCCAGAATACATATTTTTCTATCTGTAAGCACACTGCAGCATTTTATTTTGGTAATCCATAATAAGTGAAAACAATTTCCGTAAATTGCTGTTAACTACATATATTTTCATTTCAACTTATTCATGCAGGTCGGCCCATTTATTTATGTAACCTTTGCTTATTATGCTTGTGAATTAAGGCAATATCAAGGTAATCCGCATAGGATGCACATATACCAATAAGAGACTGATCAATTTCAGTCCTAAACATCAGTGGCAAGATTAAAACAAACAATATCAAATTAATTTATGTTCTAGTTTGTTTGTGTTAAAACTTGTTTTCTTTGAATGTGAACACTAATATGATTAAAATGAGTACCTAACTGACCTTTAGTTATTAAACTGTAAGCGTTAAATTGACTTTCTAAGAATCAAAATGTCTATTTTCTTAATATGACAATGGGCTTTTTTTCAAGACTGATAACTTTGACGAGGTAATTTTATGTTTTTTACATTGAGGAACGAAGTTAATGACTTCAAAAGATAATATTCAGTCTTAGAAGTGTTAGAAAGTTACGATAAATAGTTGTTTTTATATTCAGGTAACAAGTCTGAAAATATCACAGGCTAGGCTGCTAAAACCTTGTGCAGCACGATTTTAAAAACAATTGAACCTAGTATCTTATATTTATTTATCGTTCGACATTGGATCAATATGGACCTTCAATATTGAATTCGAGGAGAGATCTATGAATAAGTTGCGTAAAAGTTTACTGAATTTAATTTGACTTTATTTATGTGTTTATTTGAGAATCGAGTAGTAATTAACTTTGTATTTATCAACTCTAATTGCTTCTTTACTCTGTAATAAGAAATATAACTATGTTAGCGAATCTGTTTATCTTTTAATGTTAAATATAACAAATGATAGTCAAAACGTTTGATCATTACTAGATTATAATAAAAAGCTATAAGTTGTTTTTAAGTCCTTGTATTTTTTGATAATTTAAACTACTTTTCATTATTATGTAGAATGCGGCTAACGTTGAGACTAGGCATAAATATTTTAGGCAGAAATGGTTTTGCATTATACAAGGCTCTTATGTCTCAATGACTGAAAAAATCAAACGTGAAAACAGTAGACTTCATAAGGAAATGATAGTTTTTTCAATAATGGGCAGCCCTCTAGGACCATTGCTGGCTGATGTGTTCATGGGATATGTGGAAAATTTAGTTGGAGACTCAATTCGAAAGATGGGTCTGTATAAACGATATGTAGATGACATCATAATCATAGGTGATAAAATTGAAGACATAAACCGCTTGTTAGAATTCAATAGTAGTCAAAAGCACATTTCTCTTACATGTGAAGAAGAGAAGAACAACCAACTCCCTTTTCTTGACATCCTGATTACTAGGAGAGATGATGGTTCCATCAAACGTGGTATATATAGAAAACCAACATGGACAGGACAATATCTTAATTTTCATAGTCACTGCCCTATTCATTATAAACGCGGTTTAATAAAGAGCTTATTCAATAGAATCAATCGTATTTGTACTAGTGATACTATTGAAGTAGAGATGAAGCTCTTGACTGATGCGTTAATCAATAATGGTTACTCTTTGAAGTTCATAAACCGCTGGAAGGGTTGCAATATGACTAGACCTATGACGCTTCTGGCACCCAAAAAGCGAGTTTATATTACGTTACCATTCAGAGGTGACACAAATAGTCTCATGTTGAAACAGAGACTTAAATTAGCTATCAACCGGACATTTTATGCAGCCCAACTTGTCATTATCGAAAAGACAAGGTCTATGTTTCACCAAAAGCCCAAACAGCACGAAAACGATTGTGTCACATCCCATTGTGTCTATAAGATTACATGTATGTGTGGAAACACGTACATAGGGAGGAGCAATCGTGATTTGCAATTAAGGGTGGGTGAACATATACCAAAATGGTTGCAGGATCAGATGAATTCCAATGGTGAAATAAGATCACAGGATAGACAGACATCATCATCCATTGCGAAACATTTGATTGAGACGGGTCATAAGGTTGATATCAAATCAGCATTTGTTGTATTGTACAAAAGCCTTCAAGGACGTATACTAAGGTTTATTGAAGCCTTGGCTATACGAATATTGAAACCCCCTTTATGTATTCAAAAACAATTTGTGCTTACACTTAACCTACCGTGGTAGTACTGATTTACTATCCAGAGTGGTAATCACATTTGTTTTTGTGTACTTTAATATTTTTCCTTTGTTATGACTTACCCTTAACCTGTCTAGTTGACCTTTTAATTTTCATATATAAATGTTCCTAACGAGTAAATGTGTGATCAGATTGTTCGAAATGTTTTGCGCAAATATATCACGTAATTCTGATAAACTACGTCTTCTTATTGCATTATCGAAATTTATCAAAGGGACTAATTGTTTTAAATAATCGGAAGGTTTCACACACGGAGTCTAAGGGTATAGAGATAGGTTTTGAACATGTTATACTCATCAGCTAACATAACTGCATTGTCTGAGAATAATTATAATCATTAAGCTTAACCACTGTTTGACTTGCTTCTTCCATAATATGTTTAATTAGTGTCCCTTGAACTTCTTATATGGAAAGCTACCAATCATAGTTTGAATTTATATATAAATATTTTTTGTAAGGCAGTCTAAACCGAGAGATCGATATATTTCGGCTAAATTTACCTACCAGATGATTGCGACCATGGAAAACTATATTCATATATGAATAATGAATGATGTACCTATACATTCCTATATTCAAGAATTATTGTAGGTACATTATATTTTCATCTAGAAGTATCTATTTTGAGTCTTTTTATTTGTCGATAATTATACTGAGAATGAAAACATTATTCTAGAATGGGAAGTTTTCAGAATTATTCGCCATTTTTATTATTTTGTAAAAAAGGCTACTGGTTTTTAATTCGTAATTTGTAATGTATTGTAAGGATATAAGGATTTGTCAGATTTGTTTATTAAAGTTAAAAGTTACAGAAATCTAACTAGAATGTTGATAACTTTGTGTATTAATGAGCTTAAATAACTTATTTGAGCAATCATGACCTAAATTTGCTCATTTCAACAACCACTCATCTTTAACACAATGATCACTGTTTTACTCACTAAAATTGCAAAACATTTCGAGTGAATAATCCAAAAACTGTTTTATTGCTACCATTTTAGCTTAAATTCATTGGATGTATTCAAAACATTTTTTGATACTGGTGACTATTCATTTGAGTCTATACGTTTTGAGAGTATGGACATAGCATATACTCATTCAATAAAAAATATTTAAACTAATTTAGATGGAAATTTTTGAAGAAAGTTACCCGGTTGTTAATTTATTAGATCACCATCGACTTTCACCGAAGGGGAATTCACTACAGTTTGAACATACATGAAAACAGTTTATTTGATCATAATCTGTTGATTAGTTGAATCTGAAAGTTATAGCAGTGACTTAAAGTTCTAGAAAGCTTTATTCGAACCAGTTCACTAATCATGTAAAATGTAGAACTAAACCCAGTAGAGTCAAATACCGATAAATATACGCATAAACGGAATTTAGATTATAGGTATCATTACCAAGGTTCAGCTTGATAATTTCAAATAAACTGAGTGTTTGGTAGATTGTTATAAACAAAAATAATGTATTTGCAATATCCCAGTGAGTAGAAAAATTAAACTTTCTGGCGTTTCGTGACTCAGTGTAAGCTACTTCTGCTGCTGCTTTGATATCCGGTGGGTGCGTGAGGCTGATCTATTTAAGAGTTTTTCAAAGTGTTTTGACCACCTATTCTGCTGTTCGTTAATCCCAGTGTTTGGTTTATCTTCTTTGATTTCGATTGGTTGATCTAGTTTACTACATTTTCCTGCTAGTTTCTCGATTGTATCATTTGGTTTTCATATATTCCTTTTCTTATGGCTCTTTCTGCTGTCATTGCTAGGTATTCCATATACATCCGCTTGTCAGCTCTAGTATAATGAAAGGAAATAATAACCAAGCTCAGAAAAACGCCGAGCCCAGTCAATAAAACTTGCTCCAATTTAGGCTTTTAATCATGTAACAGACTGTCAGTTATTCTAGGTTTAAACTGATTAGTAGACAGTACATGTAATGAGATAGTTGATTTGCAACAACTTATTGAGATTTTAATAACATGTCATGCGATATTAGACTATAATTCATGTACTTTTGAATCGGTTTTGGTGCTTGCTGAAACAGCCACAAGTAAATTTTATAATTATTGCTTTGCATATGTGCTCGGGTGAGTAGAAACCACTCAAACACGAATTAATATGATAACTAATGGTATGCTTTAACCTATATGTAAGTACTGGATTAATATCTTAAGTAATGTATTAACTGGCTTATCCTATAATTTCAATAAATGAGGATTTAACTATTCGCTGCACTGCTGTTTTCTGTAAATACTTGATCATATAGTCTTTAATATAACCAAGCTTGTATGCTTACTTTTATGAGTTTTCACTTAGTATTTACTTTATCTTAACCTTCGAATAGCTATTTTGATCTACTTCTCCACTATATGTGTAAATCAAACTTATTTATTCTTATAAATTAAACATTTCTTGAACCTGGGTTTTTAATGTGATGGGCAGAGACAAAGCGACTTTAATTCCTTCTCACTATTCTTGTGTTTTGTGTTTATTATTTATCTGATTCTGCCTGTGTTACATATATTTTCTTGCACCTAATCTAGTAATATCTTACACAAAACAATGCGTTTTGTGTAATGAAAAATTATCCAGTTTATTGAAAAATATCACATAAAAACGTAAGGATTTCTGTTTAAACTCAATGTTCTATGAAATGTTTTTTCGAACAATCACATGAAACTTTATTTGAAATTATACTATATTTAGTTGACATACTACATTAATCTTTTTTTAATTATTCGTTTCATTTCTTCTGAACACAACTGCCATTATTATCACACCATAGAATATCTATCGCCAGTTCAATGTCGATGTCATAATCCATGTGAAGCAATATCTTATTCAGTGGAATCCATAACCCAAGCATTAAAATCACCATTATTATTCACACATTCTCTAAGTCTATTTACTAAAATAAATCAAACCAATTTTAAATCAAACAATAATTTTCAACTACCTACTGATCAACAACAATTTAATAACAAAATTATATCGAAAAACCAAAAACTGACAACTGTTTCTGATGACATTAGTGATTATGATCTTAATAACAATAATCATAAAAACTCTAAAGAATTGAATATAAATCAATCGGAACAATTTCTGCATATTTACAGAAAAGAGATTTGGGTAGGTTACTGTTTTGTATTAGAAATCACTTTATCTAATCATTTTTATCGCTGAAAAATTCTCATCATATTATTGTTTTAATTATTTTTTTTATAGAGTAAGCGATAGAAAATAAAGAAAGTTTGTTATTGTCTTCCAGTGCTGTCGAAAAATTCAGACAGTACTATTATATTGATATTTATCCACATCAACTAGAATTTAAAATCATTACATTTTAACGTATTGACAGCTGGAGAAAAATACTGCACAGGTTTATCAACTAATGTTAAGAAATAGGAAAACTTTAGACTATAACTACACCTGGTCAAAACTACTTGTAGCTAATTTTTAATCCTAATTTCATTCAGTGCATTGTGTTTTGAAAGGGATTGATTTGGCTTTTAATGCTTATCTACAAGTTGAATTCATGAAGATAAAAATAAATTCAGTAAATATGATATATTATAGGTTTTTTTATTGTTTAAATGTTCTTAGCCATTGTGTGTAAGCGAGTTATGTGGATGGTCAGAATAATAGTTTTTACAATAATTTATGAAGTTAATTAAACACTATGTTACTTTTCAAAATTTTTATGTACTGATTTCTAAAAACATTTTGTCTTACTTTTGGTAATTAAACCACAATTTTATTTGGACTAACATACAGATAAAAACTAATAAGCAACCATCCCTTCCGTTTGAATGATACTTACTGAGAGGTTTAGTGGCTTTAGAAATTCGGTGAATTGTACCATCAATGTTACATTGCACGTTTTATGTTGATGACATTTCAATCATAAAAGTAAGTTTATGGTGGGAAATAAAACAAAATGATGATTATCCATGAAATACAGGATTTAAGAATTTGTTTAATAAATATTTCTGAATGAAAGTGTTTGAAAACTATTTTTATTCAGCAGTCTTGAAATAATATAATATCATCGTAAGGAAAAAAAGAATATCCGTGATGATTTGTTTCTTTACAAACGATATTTCAAAATATTACTACTATGTTACTTCCTAATAAGTCGTTAAACCGTCAACTCGGAGCAATAAACGCTTTTGTACAGTGAATTGAAATAGTTTATGTGTTCATTATTCTCCTTTTTAATTGTTTTGACTAAAGAACTAAATACTCCTAAAAGCTGGTAAATGATTCTGAATATTTCGTGTCATAAGCGTTCGCGTGCGAGATCGAAGGTCCAGGATTCAAGGTTTGCGTGAGTGATCATGGATGTGTACTTCCGAGAAGTCCCATACCAGGACCAGACGGCCTTCCAGTAATTCCAGGTTTCTAATGGTGGTCTAATTTAGGTCGACTCATCAATTCAACTTTTAATGCTCATGAGTGTCGTTAATGTTGCAACTAGAAAGGGATTGATGCATTTTACCTACTTTATGAAAAACCATCTACTTTAAACTAAATGAATTCTTCGTGAAAATGTTTTCGAAAAACAATTACAGCGTTATTGTAGTACATGGAGTGTTAAGGAAGCCAAAACAATCGTCATATTAGTGGCCATGTGTCTCTCATGTTGTTTCCCATTTCACCATATATGGCATGTAATGTCTGATAGCTAACTTATCTGTTATTGTGTAAGAGTCTTCGTTCCGTTCTGAGACTAGGTGAACATAGCACATACACGTATTTTTACACTGGAATAAGCCAGCTAGAATCTCTAGTCTATTATCTTCAACTACCTAACATATAATTTTTAGATTCTTATCAAAGAATTTATAAAACACATACTAACTTAGCATGGAGTTTAAATCAGTGCAGCTTTTTAAACACAGCTAAGAAGAAGGGAATATCATTAAAACCAATATATAGTATCAGTCAGAAAACTGTCGGAAACCTGGAGGCACTGGGCCACCATTTCGTCTTGGCAAAGAACTCTTCAGCATTGCTCACCCACGACACTGCACGCTAAAGTTGAACCCAAGATTGTTGGTTGATTGCCGAGCACAAGACAACTTTCTCTCTAAAAACGTGTATTATTATTGTTATAGTTAATTTTATTTAAGTTCAAAGAATAGTATATACATGTATTTTTGTTGAACTACATTATATATATTCATCATTAGATCAATACCTTGTATTCTTACGAATACACTTTTTATTTCAGGATGGCTTGCTCCTTCAAACATGGGCATTTCTACGCGAAGCTAATCGTACAGCATTTGAACAGTTAAGACAACTTTCTCGTCTTTTACAAAGTTTAAATTTGGATTTACAGACAGTAGAACGTACAGTTTATAAAGTTCATAGAAAACATAGGTTCAATTTAGAAGCTACTGACCTAATGCTTTGGGATAGTGAACGTTTATCAACAAATAAACATCCTTCAGATCGATCTAACGGATTATGTATGGATAGTGAAGAACATTCTCGTATGCTAGAAAGGGTTAGCCGTTTAGGAAAGGAATTCGTTCGCCTTTTTAGACAAAGCATTTTGTTTCGGGATATAACATTAGTCCCAGGACTAGATTTTCACATTCACCTTGTTCGTCTGTTTTTTTTAAACATCGTCGATGAGTTGGATCGTCTCGCTAATCAATTATTACACAACGACCTGTTTTCTGATGTGACAATGCTTGATTTACAACGTAAAACAAGTCAGTGCAAGCAAACTAACAATAAATTAATATACAACGATACTAGTTGGGAAAATCAATTAGAACAATCACAGTTAATTGTTGCCAGTGAAGATATAGCCAGTCTTCAAGCTGTTCTTCTAGCTACCGATTCGCAGTTCAAACAATTAAGAACGGTGTTTTCTAAATTAGTTTTGGATAACCGTGAATTAATTGAAACTGTCCCAATTAAACGGGCTAGTTTAAACACTAAACCAGATAGCTTGATCAGGTAGGTAACCATAAAAATTATTTGTTTTTTGAGATGGTCATTTCAAAAAAGGTTGTTGATCTGTATTGTGATAATTTTATTATTAAGCAAAGTGACAAAATATGCTCTCAAAAAGCGAAGGAATCGGTAACATTTTTTGGAGTTTAAACCAGTGTATCAAACATGTGATTGCTTAACTATTATGTGTAACGATATCCGAAAAATTCATTTCATTAAATAATTAGTGATGTCTAGCCTCTTTATAATAATCCGAACTCATTTATTTTGATGGAAGTCACCTCATACTTTCTATAAACGACACATTTTTGGTTATTAACTAAATATAATGAAATAGACTACAAAAGATTTGTAGAATGATTTATTGGAGATCTTTTAAATTACGTAAACAAACTCACTTCCAATTTCGTCCTCATAAATGATGGGATTAAATTACATTCTAAAGTACTTGTTTGCCAATTTTAATTTGTACTTTTATTGGATGTTTAATGAAGCTGATGACTTTGACGAGTATTTTCAGTTGTACACAAAAATGTGATGTATTCATAATTTGATTATATATTAAACTATGATTTGTTTTGCATACAAAACAGCAAATTCACATATTAAACAAGTGAAAATTATTTCAAAAAATTTGTTCATATCTTATGGACTTTGTTTTTAAAGAAAATACTTTTAATAGCATACTGACAGTTTGTGTGTTTTTATTTAGAATTAAATTGTTAAGTGTTATATTTCTAAATGCCTGATCAAGTTTCTTTTGTTTTGAAGACTTTTACTAAAATAATGTTGCTAAGTGTTTCTTTTTCTGAAAATTCAACTGTATTTATCCACTTTTATATATTTCCTTCACTTTTATGTTATTTAACTAAATTATACCTTTTATTTTCATCCCTTCTTTCTTATTTTGTTTTTCATATACGGGTGATAAAATCTAGCACCGAAGAAGGGTGAGTAAATTATTTGTATTCATTTATTTATCATTTGTGATGTTTTCAACATTTTGTTACTGAACTGAAATTTAAAATTTAAACTTATCAAAGTATGAAAGAATTATTAATAATAATAATGACTTTCTAACGAATAGTTTGGTAGTAATTTACACACTTTGATTCAGGTAGTAAATAAACATTAATATATAATAACAATAATAAACCATCTTTATTTCTGGAATTAGTTTCTAAACTAAAAATCTTTAAAGCTTTTCAGTTTGAGCATATAAGTATTCCAGTTGGTTTAGTTGACAAATATAAATATCGCTTTATTTTTGTAACGTAAAACTATTGCTTAGATCATACATTGGTTTCCTTTGTTAATTTTATTAGGACCAAAACAACACTGGAGGCAGAATAATATGAATTCACTTTATTTCAAGGTTTCTCCTTGGTTGTTTACAACTTTATTCATTGTAGAGTGCAACAGTGAGGCACGACAATGTGGAGTAATCAGTAAATGTGAGGTCGTTGTAATATCGAATTTAAGAAAGATAGGAGGTGAGGCAGTAATTGCGTGGAGTGTGTTTGGTATTCGTAGAAGACTTGAGAAGCCTAAAGTGGTTTTAAGGCACTAGGAAATAGATATATAAGACAAAATGATACAGTTGTAATTATTTAGAATTCGAAATTGATAGTGTGTTTTGCGCAACATTTACATGAGATTTAAAGAGTTTATATAAATTTGGATAAGTGACTGTGTGAAAATACAGATAAATGAAAGGATGGCTCTAGCGTACATGAATTAACATTCACTTAAGTGAGGATCGTATGTTTAAATAGACGCAAAATTATAAGATAATAGCAATAAGTTTAGGTGATATTCAAAGTTGTGAGTTTACCAAGGTTTTTTGTGCCTTTCTGGACATATAAATCTGGTCTTGTTTTTCACTTGTTACTGCTTCTGCAAACCAAAGAAAATCCACGTGTTTGGTCACTGATAATCTTTGTTACTCTAATTCTTTTCGTCATCATTGTCGATTACTCCATATAGTCATATCTCACTGTTACACTTTACAATGAATACAGTTGTAAGCAACCAATGAGAAACCTCAAAAGAAAGTCAATTCATATTATTCTGCATGAATTGTTGTTTTTATTCAACTTGTTTATATGTTAGCAAATATATAGTCTATGTAATCTACTGATTCCATTAACCTTTTACATCCATTCACATTTATTTTAAATGATTTTTCTCAAAATGTTCACTCGTGTATAAAAACCGCATCTCCTCAAAAATAACAACAAGCAGAATAATAGCAACATTCATAAAAAAATTATTTTCAAGAGATGACACCTCTATAATTGCATTATTTTATTAATCAGCATATGAAGAAGTTTGTAATTAATAGATCATATGAATTTAAGTTACCATACTGTGTAATGTAACAAAAGTGAAATAATATAATGTGATACGGAAATAAAATGAAAACAAGAATGCGATGTGACAAGAATCAGAACTATACTAGAGAAAAAGAAATTTTAAAAGCATGGATCCAAATTTCTTTATATCAAAGTGACTGACAGTATTCGTAATAATTTAGGTGTTTACACATTAAGGATAGTTTGAATTCATCAGACTCACTGTTTAGGGAGAATCAGAGGTAAAAATTGGTTAGTCTATTCAAGTCAGCTAACTCTTACCTAATTAATAATGTCTATATTTACTTCATGTGGGTGATAAATATGACTGTTTCTTCGTGGTGTCAAGACAATAAAAAATATGCAACCTCTTTGTGATAAAATCGTGTATGAGAATATATCTATTATTAATGAGCTTACAATAAACATATGAATAACAGCTGTAAGAAATACGGCTAAATAAACGATTACTCTAGTAGGATGATCATTAGTTTAAATCTATTCAGTCATTCCTTCCCCGTGATAAATTAATAAAGCAATTACACATATAGAACGCTAACCCTACAGTGATCAGTTTCGGAAGCCAGGACGAGAAAATACGTAGTTGATTTTCAACGGGTTGTGAGTAAATGTGATGAACTACAAGAAGTCATACAGTATTGGACAACTGTTTAGTTCTCGTTAAAGATTTCCTAGAATTGTATAACCATCTTATCTTTGGCTAGAGTCCAAGTCAAATAGACCATTCGGCATTAACGTTAAAAATAAACGGTCTTTAGAAAATCACCATCAGTATTGAAAATTACCACTTAAAATACTTGTTTAGGTAGAAGATAAGCTCTAGGCATCGTTCGAAAATGCAATGCAAGTATACTGTAAATAGATGCAGATTTTAGGAAGTAATTATTAAATATTTAACTATAAAGCTAATATAACGGTAGTAGATAGTTCTATTGTGAATATTTTACGCTCCACAACAATATAAATTATAACAACATTGAAGGTGCATATAGCTAACAAATATCTATACAATACTTCTTTAATATTACTTCTAATCATTTTCCTTCACCTTTTATTTTTACGTTACTTGTGATAACCTTTCATCCCAAGTGTTTTTTATTAAGGTTTCGTAGTTCAACATAAGCAGTTCTTCTTAAGTTATGTAGATATATTATTCTCTAAACGTTATTATCTACTTTTTGTTTAGACTGGTCATGTTCCTCCTTCATTAAGATGATATATACAACAATATAAATCGTAGAAAAATTAAAAACAAAAACTTTTAATGAATGCATCTGGGGCAATAGAGATTACTATTATCATTATTAATTTTCTTTTATTTTTATATTCGACTATATATCTTTGGTTAGAGTGAAAATTTATTTCTGATCAAAATCAATTGCCCCCTCACACTTTCTATTACTAAATGCTACTTTTCACATTTTACTTTTGGTGATCTCTTCTTTTTTTTATATTGTACTGTGTTCAATTCATATATTCGGACAAATTGTGCGCGTGTATATAAATATATATATATATATGAATGTGTATTTACTCCGATTACTAATAAATTAAAAAAATTAACTAATTTATAATTCAACAATGTTATTCGCAAAAATCAACTACAAATTATATGAATGAATAATTAATTAACAATAATTAAAAATAAACGAACAATAGATTAGTCAGTGTTACAATACAGCTGACAAGGGATAAAAATCGTCTTATACGTTTGGAATCAGTACAGGCAATTTATAGTCCAATCGGTAAGTGTGATTATTATTTGTATTTCTTCATTTCATTTATCATTTATTGTTTTGATACTCATTTCTACTTGGACCGTTCAATATTATTTGTTTCCATTTTTATGTCTATGTGACTGTGTGTCTCTGTTTGCATATTCGCATGTGTGTGTTGATACGATTATATACTCGTATTGCTTCTTCAATCATTCAGTGACTGTATCTAAAATTAACTTTATTAAATTAAATAACTTGGCTAGGGATTATAATCTATTTCTGTCTCTACTTCACAAGTAATACGTGAATTTAAAATCTACTATTTATCTTTTCTGCATACGATTGGCATATATATAACCTATTTTACTGGACAGTAATCATTGAGTCAACATGAAGAACGTTGAACCAAGATATATTCCAGTTCTTCGTAGTGGATTAATAGGTAGATCAAATTACATTTAAATGGAAGTCTTATTTAGGCTAAAATCATGGAAACTTTTTCATATACATATTTATTAGACATTCTAAGATATACAGAGTTCGACTGCATTCTCTTTTAATTAGTTTGAATAGCGAAACTAAGGAGCACCAAAACAATTGTTCAACTGATGGCAATTAATCATGTAGACCATCTTTATAAAATAGTAATGTCATTTTGTAATGTCATTATGACAAAGTAGTTATCCACTTATCACCGTTAAAATGTTATGGTTGTTTTGAAAATCAGATACATGACGCGCGTTTTCGGTACCTTTTTGGTATAAGGGACTCTAAATGTAGAAAAAAGTAGAAATATTAAAAAATTGGAGGAACCTGCTGTGACCTGGTTTAAGAAGTATTTTCATATATTCAATCTTTTTAATTACAGAACATTAAAAATAAATTATAGCCAATTTTTTAAAATGTTGAAAAAGATGAATACTTCCGTTCGGTATACCTTATTTTCAACATCTCAAGGATCGGTTTGGACTGCTTTTTACTAAAGAGAAAGTGATTAACATTATTGTGATAGAAAACGGTTCATTGCTCGTTCCATTATCGATTGTTTAATTCGCCTGAAAATAAATATCATAAAATAAATGACTCGCCATTTCACTACTCATTTTTTATTTTAATTTTTTATATCTTTTGACATATTAATTTTAACTTATTAGACTCAGATCTCTATTTATATTATCCAACTTTTGTTTACCTAGCTGAACTATTGGATCTAATAGTATCTGGTCTATTGCTTGCATTTCTATCTATCTTCCTAGTAAATATTTGTGTTTCACACCCAAACAATTCAGATTCGTGTTATTATGAATGCTGTTGCTGTTGTTCCACTTTCGTAAATAATTCTACTAATTCTAAATCATGTGAATCACCGAAATTGGTTACTCATACCACTTTACCTACAGCTTCATATATTAATTGTAATACAGATAGTGGAAGTTCTAGTAAACGTCTGCCAAAACTCAATACTATCTCATATAGGAATTACAGTGACTTAATACCAACCGATATTTTACAGAAAAAACCCACAGTGAATTCAGTTTATTTGTTTGATTCACATCAACAAGATGGAGTCCCGATTTCAAATAAATGTATAATAACAGGATTACCAATTACCAGTGTAAGTTATTTATCTTTAAATGCCTCACAGCTAGACAAATTGTGATTTTAAATGTTGAAGGGATTTTTAAAGTAAATGAACAACTACACGATACGAAAGAAATATGTTCAGTTCAGTAGAAACATAAAGATGAGAGAGTTTCAAAAGTTAGTATCATAAAAATACAACATAAATAATTTATTTGTAGCTTTCAATGAACTCAGTGTGTTCGCTTATTCAAAAAGAGATTTATCTTTGGTGATAATGGCAAGATCAGTAAGCTTGGATATACAAGCTGTTTAAAAATGTTAAGGGTCCTCCTATAACATTGAAGCCTAATATTAGTGAATATGATTAAATTATAATGTACAATATATATATATATATATATATATATATATATATATATATATATATATATATATATATATATATATATATATATATATATATAATTACTTGTTTAAGCAATAGCATTGACTGGGACAGGTGTAATAGATTAAGGGATGTTTATGATAAGAATATCGGTTACATGATAGGTGATTAAAAATAACTGATTTCAGGAAAGCATTTCATCATTTTACTGAAACCATATCATCTCTACTTATCGGTATTTGAACTTGTAGCTGACATGAAGATATATGAATAATAAAAAAATCTAGCGATATGAGAAACTGTATTTTATTTACTAGCAACAGGTTCACGTAAAAAATTGATAATAAATTTCGTTCTTACTAGCTCTTCACTTCAATGAAAGTGAAACATTCCATTACAGTCTGTAAATCCAATAATGAGCAGATTTCATTGGTACCATAATTTTTACTTGATACAGGTTTTGAAATCCAATGTCAAGTAAATTAAGCCTGTTTTAAAGGAGTAGTAGTAGAAAAATGATACGGTCTTCTTTTATACACCATTAACATTTTAATTACGTTCAAATCTCTATCTATTCTGTTCGAGTTTCGTTTTATGAGTGACTATTCATTGCTTCCTACTAAAATACAGAACATAATTCATGATGAATAATGTGTGGCATGAAAGCATGTCAACTAATTCAACTAAACAGTTATTCGAATTTAACGGTTTTATCTTCAGTAGCATTTGCGTCTTTAATAGAGAGTAATATTCTTATATGTATGTTACGTTAATAAACTATCATATAAGTATGTTTTGATAAGTTACCTTCGGATACATTTATGAATCCATAAATGTAGCCATGATACTATGTTTCCTTCCTCAATCTCAGCAAATCTCATGGGTATAAAAATTACATGAGTTTCAAAAACTCCGTTAATTAGCTAAGTAGTTATTGATATTAACAAATTCAAAACATATGTACCCAAACATATCTACGGTATTGAAATAAAACTACTAAACCTTTGGTAAGAAAACTCCTAAAATATATCACTTCTTTTTGGAGAAGTCATTAAAAATAAGATAAAGAAACACTTTCGTTTCATGTTGAACAAGCTTAATTGTTTACTTTTCCAATTAAATAACAATTTATTTTCTTCATCTAATACATAAAGTCCATTAAATATTTACAGTTCAAAGATTTTAGTGTAATTATTGTTTACAGAATAAGCCATGTGCAAAACGTTTTGGAGAGAACTGTCGACATAATTTCAATATGTGTCCAAATGAATCATCACAATATATGACACACAATTTACCTACTTTACCGGGATCTTCAGTGACATTACCGAAATGGGACAATAAAGTTCTTCAAATTGATGTGGATGGTTTTAACTGCATGGATGTATCTGAGCATTCTACCACTGAATGTGAGGGTGAGCAATCACATGCGAACACAAGTATGTATTATTCACTTGACGTTCTGATTACTGTTACGATAATATCCATTTTCTTAGTATGTAGTGAACGAAATCTTGGTGAGGATAACCAATTTGTTGTTGAGTGCAAAATTACAGAGTGCCTTCGTAAATTATGAAAACCATATATTAAATACTTTATTCGCACATCTTCCATCAGTTTTCCTCTACATTCTTTATGACTCCTCCGATTCTCAATTCTTTTGTGTTTCCCTTTCTGTTTTCTTCAGTTCAATCTTTTCAACCTTCTTTTTGACAGGCATTCCACTTTTGACCGGTGTTACATCTGGAAACAGTAATCAAGATTTGTTCGTTTAGTGAAAATAAAGTTCGATCTCAACTGTATTCTTGAAAATACAAAAGTGACCTTCATTTTAATTTTCAGAAGTAGTTTATTTCCAAGTTGATGAAGAAATCTAAGAAAAAAAAGAATCAGTTAGCAACACAGATTAATAAATGTGAAGTAGAATTTAAGATATTTACTCAAAATGCTCATTTTAAAAACAGGAGGTAGGAAAAATTACTTTAAAACTACTTCTGTTTCGAAATTATCATTTTGAAAATCTTTTTACTGAATATTGCATACCCATTAGCTATTCTAGTACACTGGCTTAATTTTATCCAGATTTCGTAAGCAGTGAGCAACCATGACAAAATAAATGTACTGGTTGCGCATCATACAGTATGATATGTATTTTATAATATGGAAATGTAAGGTGTAAAAGTTTATACGCGCCTATATATAAAGGCACTGTGTGTTTACATCTGTGGTAGTTGAAACATCATCGTTTTTCTTACTGATTTATCAACACCTTGAATAGAGCGAAAAAGTGACAAAAACATTTCATTGGCTTTTACATTCTCATTATTGATGCAGTTCTTAGCAGTTCATTTTTTTCTTTATCTCCTCATTATCTCTAGTGATGTTAGTTGAGAAAGTTTGTACTGTGAGTGGTTCTGTAAACATAAAAGAAATGTATAAACATCGCTTTTTAGTAAAACAACATGTAGTTAAATGTATGGGGATTTTGCTCCGAGTCTATTTGGAAGTCGAATTGCTATTGCTTACTTGTTTTATTAAGCCTGTTACCCCTCGTGGAGTAGCATAGGTCGCCCACCAGGATTCTCCATCAAGCTCTGTCCTAGATCATCCTTCCTAGTTGTTTCCAGTTGCTATTTAGTCTTTTGATGTTCGCCTCCAACTCCTGATGGCACGTGTTCTTTGATCTTTCTCTTTTTCCTTTCTCTTTAGGATTTCAAGTTAGAATATGCCTCATAATGCACTTTGGCGATTACCATATTATATGCCCAATCCATCTCCAGAGTACTTCCCTAATTTCCTCTTCAGCTCGAGGTTGATTAGTTCTCTGACACAGAAGGCTGTTGCTGATGGTATACAGTCAACGGACATTGAGTATCTTGAGTAGACAGTTGTTTAGAAATAACTGTACGTTTTTGATGATGGTTGTAGTAGATCTCTTAGTTTCAGCTCGTACAGTAGAACTCACTGTCTTTACGTTCGCATTGAAGATTCTGAATTCGATGTTGCCTGACAGTCGTTTTGAGTTCCATATATCCTTCAACTGTAGGGATGCGGCCCGATCCTGGCCTGTTTTTTTCTCTTCATCGATGATGCTGTTCAGGTACGTGGAAGTTTCTACCTCTTTCAGGTTTCCTCTATCAAATGCGACTGGATTGGTGTTCCCCGTGTTGTATTTGAGGATATTGTTTTCTCCGTTGTGTATTTTGAGGCCTACTGATGCAGAGGCTTCTGCTACACTAGTTGTCTTCAACTGTATTTGTCGGTGTCTATGGAATAGAGTGGCTGGGTCATTTGCTTAGTTCAAACCGCTTAGTTGGATGCAAGCTTTCCACTGTAATCCGTTCTTGTTCTAAGGCATGGTGGTCTTTATAATCCAGTCAACCAACAGAAGAAAGAGGAACGTAGAGAGTAAGTAATCTTATCTGACGCCAATCCTCACTTGGAATGCGTCTGTCAGCTGTCTCCCATACATGACTTTGCGATGTAGTCCTTCGTATGAATTCCGTACGGTATCGACGATTTTCTCAGATGCACCATAGTGTTGAAACATGTTCCATAAGGTTCTTTTGTTCACACAGTCAAATGCTTTTTCATAGTCAAGGAAGTTGATGTCTAGTGACTAGTTTCATTCAACTGATTGTTCAACGGTGATCCGTAGTGTCATGATTTTGCCTGTGCACTATCAATCCTTACGGAATCCGGACTGTTTATCTCGAAGTTGAACGTCTACTGAATCTTTCATCCGGTTCAGGAACACTCTGTTGAAAACTTTTCCTGATACCAGTAGTAGCGTGATGCTTCGGTAGTTCTCACATTTATTGAGATATCATTTCTTTGGTATTTTGATGAGATGTCCTTCTTTCCACTCTGTCTCACAGGTAATTAAAATAACCCATTGTATCTTGAATATATATAAAGAGAACTCAGCGAAAAAAGTTTCGTTCCGAGGAAATCATTTACTCAAGGTGTACATTTCTGTTTATGATTGTATGTTAGATATATGTCGATAGAAGATAGGACAATATTGCATCACAAAGTTTTTCAAAACATCAAACATCAAGTGGGTTTTTCATTTTTTTAACCTGTCAAGCGGACAATTGTCTTTCATGATTCTAGCCCGTAAATAATTTTCATCCTTATATTCTCCTCTAATCCCCTGATTATTAAGCAAAATTATTTGATATTTTGAGTCTCGAATCACTTTTTATGATGCAATCTTTTTTATCCTTCTACAGACATATAGTTATTATAATACTATAAATAAGAATGTTCAGCTTAAGTTATTTCGTTGAAAAGAAAAGTTTCTTCGTTGAATTCTTTTTATTTCGTTCTTTGTCAAATGACTTATTTAATTATATACCGTTGGTAAAACATTAAAATTCCACAACTGAGAGTTTTCTAGACATATTCCTTTTAATGAAAATTGAAATTATTTTTCAGTTAGCATTCCAAAACTAAACATTTTTCGTCACTTATACAACAGATTTTTTAATTGAGAAAATTTCGGTACTGAGTTTGACTGTCTTCATATTTTGTTTGTTCTCAAACACAATCGGCTGGCTTTATCAGAAACAACAACGGTAACAAACCATTTCATCAAAAATTTCCCTAGTATAAAAATTGAGGACAAATGTAGCTTCTATGTGGCTTAGTTTGTGTAGTACACCTAAAAAGTGTATTTTATTATGTATAAGTAAAACCTAATTTCAAAAAATTCATCTTCGTACAAACATGCTTGCGCATATTGATAAACAATACTTTTGTTACAATGGTAGCAAAATATCTTGAGGGTAAAGATGTTCATAAATTCACCCTGTTTGACCCCTATATGTGTATCTTTCAAATGTCTATATTTCTCGTTAAATGTTAAAGTTTTAGGAGTTACATATAAAAAATATGATGCATGATAAAAAACAACACTTTATGGTTCATTTATTCTATTCTTTTGTTTGTTTTTTCTGCTAAAAAATGAGTAAATGATGTGTACTGATCTTATCTGCTCTTCATTCAATATTTTCATTCGTTTTATTTCAGGTTTATTCATTTATGCTGTAAAATATATCACTTGAATGTGTATACTTTGATACATAGATTTACTTTGAAGCTATTCAGTTGTGTGTTAACTGTCATGTTTAAGGAATTCTAACAAGAACTTATAAGATTTTCTTTTATCTGACAGTCTTTATAGTTCTTAACCCATACTGCTATAAATAACCGATCCCAATAAAGGAAAATTGTGATATAGGGTGGTTTTGGGAGGTCACCGGGAAGAATTTACTCTCAAACTACTCATGTACATACCTAAACACAGATTTAAAATATTGTACTAAATTTTTCCTAAATTTATTTACAGTTTTAAACATTTGTAACTGTGAAGTTTATATCACCAGCTGATGTCATCTAGGTAAACGTCTGTGACTGAATTCGTATGGTTTCTAAAAATCCAGTGGGCTGTGACCAAATAGGTCTGATTTTATCTAGAGTTAGGCGACTCGCAGTTCCTGATTGTCATCAATCCAATGGACTAATGAATATGAAAAAGTGGACGTCCACCCACTGGTCTAAAATTAAGGAATTCACTGTAAATTCTAGTTGTTTTTGGTCTGAATTCAGGAAGGGCTTAAATCTAAAAGAATGAGATACCTCATACTAAGTTGACACAGCTTTTCACTACTTTGTGGTTTTCTATGGTTATTGAGGTAATGTTAATACGTCAAGCAAAATATCATCAATTTGAGCAACATTTATTATTCTATTCTAATAAAAACTTTCCATCTTCTTTATCAAAATTAGATCAACGTTATCCATGTCATCAACAACAATCACTTCCAAGACAACAACAACAACAACAGTTAAATCATCAACAAAACAGTGTCAACGAATCATGTATTAGTTTTTGTGATTGTTTGTATTCTATGGAAGATAATACAAAAACAGATTCTGCATCGTGTTTAAATTCAAGTAAACTTTTATTTTGTAATAATCATTCAAACACTGTGAGAAATTGTTCTTCTATTAGAAAACCAACTGATATTAATTATAGTAAAAATGAAATGTTAAATTGTTTAATAGTAACACCACAACCACAGGATACAACATTTACTGAAGTTACACCAAATATTGTAACAACACATCAATTACCATTCAGTGTTGATTTACTTCAGTCATCGCAATTAATAGACGATAAGGCAACACTACCAGTAAACACATCACATTAAGATAGACTGTTTTAGGGAGTACAAATATAATCGGTATATCAGAGTTATGTATTAGGTAAGTTAATTCCTATCATGTAATATTTAATTATCCATACATTTCAATTTTAACGCCTGCATTCTTAAATAAAAAATAATATCATGTGGTTACAGAAAAATGTGCACTGTCAGTTAAAAGTCCTTTGACTTGTTTCTGCACACTTGTGTCGTTTATGATTATGCATTTTGTACGCATCTTATGGTTCATATTATTAAAAAGCTTATAATAATGTTCTCTTGAAATAACTTATGAATCACATCCGTTTCGGTAATATTATAACTTTATTTTTAAAATTTTGACTGCAATTTTGTGTCAACCTGATTATGCCTGTAAATTATCAAGTGTACTATAAAAACATTCAGGATCTACTGTAATTAGAAGTCGATGATGACCTGGGCATCTAAAAAAAGCCCTATAATGAGACCATACTGGAAAGAAATATTAAAATAAGAAAATAAACTTAGTGATTTGATTATGTTATAAAACATTTGTGTCTAGACTACATTTTAAGTAATTATATTAGAATAATTCAGCTACTTTCTACTAGCCTAAGCATTTTGGAAGACTTGGTTAATGATTGGACGTTGTAAACTACTGTGGTTTATTACAATCTCTAAACTTTATTATTGCATTCTTGTATTTCCCTATCCCCTTGTTGCATATATTTGTGATTTTTAATTTGTTGCATTTACTTTAAATATACCTCTGGTATTAAAAATCTATCAGATTTGTTAGCTAGCTAGTGTACTGATCTTAAATTGTCTGAAGTCACTTTACATAAATGAGGAAGAATGAAAACATAAAAAAGCGTATTATACTCTGAATCAGTCACAGGAACAGATTTTACATTAAATATACTAGTCTATTAAATACGCTTTTGCTTTACATTAATGTCTTCAGCTAGTGTTGTGTTAAACAGGTTACTGATTTCTATTACTTATTCTACCAATAGTTATTCATCTAATACTATAAACATGTAGATTGTTTTTGATGAACCATTTGTGAGTGAGTTGAAAAGATGTGATAGTTCAATTTGTTCCAAGAACTCTTGCTACGGTATTTTTGCAAAGCTTGTTTAGAGAATTTAGCTTATAACTAAGTACAATTTTAGGGTCTATAAGAATAAATGTTTTCGTTAGAGTGTAGAGTAACTTCAACAACAATTTATCCTTATAAACTGTATTCTAACTAATAACTTTAAATCGATAAGAGTTGTGAAACAGTTATTATTTTATGACTTTAAAACAATTTACACAAAGTATCTAAAACTTCAATGCGGTTACAAATTGCCAATGGTATTACTTTGAGGTGCTTCTTGACAAAATGTGACCAGATTCAACAAAACCTCATTACATACTATTGTTTATTCAGTACGAGTGGCCTATTCAAAAAGTCATTCATTGATATTCCCATTTTTTGTGAAACCGTTGGAAATATTTTTGTTAGTTACAAATATATAATTTAACATTTGTATATGTTTACTTAAAAATCACGTTTAGGGAACATTTTTGATATTATCAGGCAGTCTATAATTCCCAAAATACATGAAAAATCTTCTTAAGTAATGAGCAGTAGGAAACTCAAGCAAATTAAATCCTAATGAAATGTCGAAGAAGAGGATAATATGATAACTATACAAGTGATATTTGAAGAGCTAATCTGCGAATTTCTGTTCAAGAACTTTATTAATCGTTCCATTGCTTCATCATAATGTGTCAATGATACATACTATTTAAAAAATTTTATTTTAGACTTCAATTACTCTATGAAAATGATTAGTGTTTTCAAAATTTGTAGTTGCTCGAAAAAATTAATTATTAATCAGTTAGATGATTCGACAGCTTTTAATGCATCTTAGGCTTTCTTCCTTTTACTTCCGTTGTATTAAAATATATACAATGGTTTGAAATCAAATCTATAACCACTGAGTATACAAGCTATTATGATTGTATGCATCCTAAATGGTAATCGTGTAAATCTCATAATTATTCGGCTATAAAGTTCTCGGTAAATATGTTAAATGTTTTATTTGAACCAAGCTCGTCGAAAATATTTTATAAATTATTTTTGATTTATTATGCTCAAGGAAGATAAATAATTTCACTTAACAATATTAGTAAATTAACATGAAATTACTGTTATTTTATTCGTTAGTAAATAAAGTTAATTTTCCGAATTTTTAATCATTTCATTTTAGGCACAGTTTTAATAACAGATCAGAATAATATTCATGATTGTCAATGTGCATAATATATAATCATGCAATTTAACTTTATTCAATTTTTCATTTCTTGAAAGTATCCCATTTTATGTATTATGGAAATGTAATTACTCAAAAAAAGCATTTGATGTAGATTTATTATTCAACTTTTCATTTGTATTTTTAAATTCGTACATTCCTTTCACTATACACTCATCAACACATTAAAGCATATAGTTATTCTAAAGCACTTGTTAATTCTCTACCTAAACATTTTGTCAAAAAAAAAACAACTTCTAATCAATATGAACACTTTTTTTTGATAGTAAGTGAAATAAACAACTTTTATTTTGTCTTTCACCCAATAACACGATATACACTCCTTGTTCATAATTTTATGTCAATGTTTTACTTCATCTTACTAATTTTTTTTTTTACAAAAAAATGATTTATTGAATGTGTTTTTTTGTAGATTTTAAATTAACTATTCATTTTCATTGTAAAATTCTATAGAATGATATTTCTAACATTATTAATAGTATTGATGTAATAGACCAACATTTTTGTGAAACCTGATAGAGTGAAATACAATTAAATTTTCATAATATATCTAAATTTCATATAATTCCGCATGATATAATTAAGTTTACCAATTATTCAACTAGGAATAGAAAAACATGAATTAATGAAGAAGAAAATTTCTTTGATGCTAAACAGAAATAACTTATTGTCAATAACATATATTTGAATTACTTTTAACACATGAAAATTGAAGAGGTGAGTTTGGTTAACAATGCTAGATTCAACTGTCAGCCATAGTAAATCTCTCCTATTGAACTTGAGATAAAATGAATGTATTGAAGAGATCCACAAAGAATCAAAGTTTTTCAGCTAACTGTGACCAAAATTCAACCAAGAATATCAACCCAAACCCTTACAAATTAGAATAATATGCTAAAATGACAGAAATAGAAAAACATTTTCGTAAAAGAAACAAGTTTTATTTAACATATATTGATATAAATTACTATCACCATGCTGGAAGCATCATAGTAATGGTGTTGATAAATGAGTATGGAAAATGTAAAAATCCAAGTTCTTTAGAAAGAAGAAGTTTAGGAGTTTTACCGTTTAATCACGAAATCCTTTTATTGGAAATCATATTTAATCCTTAAAATATCCAGTGAATTTATATATTTTCACAGAAAGTTATATATATATATATATATATATATATATATATATATATATATACTAAGTAATAAATGAAAATCTAGTTGTGTTGGTCATTGTAATGTTAAAGTTTGACAAAATTCTCTTTTTTTTTCATTAAATAGTAAGAAATATCACAATTTTTTCCCTATTGATCGGACATATTATTCCAATTACCGAAAATAGTCAAATTAAATATTGTTATAAAGAATCAATTAAATAAGTTCGTTACATACATAAGAAGAAAAAATAGCAAACTAGAAAAATGACTTTCTTCATTGAAATGGAAAAAGATTAATCATAATAGAATATAAATTCGAATGGAAGTGAAATTACCTATAAAAATAAATTCTTTGTAAAATATTCAAGAGTATTTGTTTCCTCTCTCTCTCTCCCTCTCACCCACACTTTAAATGTGAAATTTAAAAAGTTGTGATTTAATTGTAAGTATGCAGCTTATAAGCAGTCAGAACAGATTGTTAATAGATGGTTATGAAACATTATGTCTTTTTCACTTAACATTCTATTGATCAACAACTATAGTTGTTAAATCATATTTATTACAAAATATTACCGCATTTATTGAAGATAGACTAGTTAAGTGAATTTGAGTAGTTGTAAATTATTAAAGCGATTTAGATATTCCTTACTTCATAATTCTATTGCTGTATGAAATTATATTTCGTATATTGCAGCCAACAGTGATCAAACCCATGAAGATGCAGCAATGTGTTTGGAATGTCATTAATAGATATAGGCAAAACAGGCTGAGAAGACTGATATTGGTCATTCACTAGTCACCACGAAACCGTAGAACCAGTTCCTAAAACTCTCGAATCTCCGTGTCTAAAAATAATTTAACTTATGATGATTGCTTTAATGAATTTACCAAGGACATTTAGATACTAGTGGCTTTTAAAAAGGCCATTGAATTAATGAGAGCCATTAAATTCAAATAAGAGCGTCCATAAATCAACTGGTGATAAGTAAAAAGCCATTATTTTTTTGCAACTTTATGAAAATATATATGAAATTTAGGATAGGTACCAGGTTAGATGTTTAATTAAAGAATTTCGGAACCTATTTACATTGCGTAAACTACAAACAGTAACAACGAAAAAAGTTTAAAAAAATTACGTCACTACCAAATAATGATTGCTGCGGATAGGAAAAAAATAATGCAGAAAATAAAGACGTAGACCTGGCAAGTTCATACGGACATTTATAAGGCAGTAATGATCGTTTGTGCACGGGAAAATATCCGGAAAAAAAGTATATTCACTGAAATCGCGCGCGCTAATTTAAAGGACAGTGATATTTTTCCTCGCTCAGTAAATTCTATTGTTTTGATCGTTTATTACGCATCAAGACTACTGTGTTCACTTTGATTGAATTTTTTTCGGTTAAAGTATTCTACTAGAGTATCGTTTTTGTTTCTTAAGTAGTTTGTTGTCGCTAATTTTGAGTACTTTGTTTTCTATTGTATCTGTTAGTATTTTTGGTTCTAACAATCTACAATTTTCCACTTCTTTGGGTATAAATCATTTTTGTCTCTGAGTATTATTACATCTAGTTCTTTTTTCAAATAAAATACCCCGTTTAGTGACTGGATGGTGCAGAAAAAGCAATTGCCCCGTCCGTGCTGTCGTTATCCCGTTGAAAGCCGTATGCAGTGCAAAGGCTGGTACCACGAAGTTTGCACGAATTTAACGCCTGCGGCTTTCAAACGGTTCAGTAAAAACGGTTGCGTATGGCTTTGTCAACAGTGCTGTTTGGATGCAAACAGCTTGCTAACCGAGGCCGTCTCATTGGTAAATGCTGCAAAAGAGTGTGGTCGGGACACATCGGACAGTAATCGCTCTGTCGACACACTAATTGGTGTGGAGCGAACTCAGATGAGTTCGAAAACAACTGACTCACACCGACCAAAGGAAGAATAACAGTCTTCAAAGAGGTCTGTCTTAACTAAAAGCTGAAGAAAAGAAGTTTCCTTTGTCCCCCGTCTTCTAAATGGTATCCAGCAGGAAACGCCTAGAAGCCGCAATCGCAAGGCTCGATCGGTTTCTAGCGGGAAACGTAACCTGACCCACCAAGTCGTCGAAAACGTTCCGGAACCCCGCAGTATGTTTGACGCGACTGTGGTTGCTCCTCTAAGCAACGTTGACGAATGGGTACAGGTTGTAATGAAGAAACAACGTGACAATATAAAAGGGAATCCTGCTCCCCCTAAAGAAATCGAGGGCTGATCACAGTGACAGATCGGTTATTTTCCATAGAATCAAGGAGAGTGAAAGCTCTGAACCAAAAACTCGTTTTGAGCATGACATTGTGCTGATAAAATAGCTACTTAATCAACTCATGCCTAAAAATATCCTCGGAGTCATCTTGCTAAAGGTGTACAGACTAGGTAGTCTAGCGAACTTGAAGCCTAATCAATCCAGAATGCTTAAAGTAGTATTCAGATCTTCGAATGAACGCGACTTAATTTTGTAGAATGGACATAAGTTAAAGGGTTCAGGAGTTTTTATCCCTAAGGACTTGCCGTTGGCAGACCGTGTCAAAAGACGGAAAGCCGGAAAAGAACTACAACTTAGGTTAGACGCTGGCAAAAAAGACATAAAAATTTTAAATTTTCGGGTTGTAAGGCTTCGACTAAGAACGATGCCGAAGTCACTCTGGGTGAAGCACGAAGTCAATTAAATAGGCTTTGGATCTGTAACACTTAATCAATAAGCGATCAAAACTTGGTGTACAGATTGACTCTACAAAGCCAGACATAATCGCAGTCACATAAACCTGTCTGACACAGTCTATAGATAGTATGGAACTTGACTTCGAGGGTTAGTAAGAGCCGACAGAATACAAAAACGTAAAGGAGGGGGAGTAGCTCTATTCATTAGGAATTCTATCCAATCTGTCATTATCAACAGTGTATTCCATGAGAGTGGGACGTGTGAATTAGTTAGTTGCCGCTCGAAATGCAACAAACAAGAGCTACTGATTGGTCTATCTCAGTCCAAGCTGTGAAGTAAATGAGGTCCTGCCAAGCAGTCTCAATACTTGGTCACAAAGTGGTCGATGTCTTATCCTAGGGGACTTTAATGCACCTATGGTAGACTGGAAAAGTCTGCAGACTGAATCTTCAGATAATTCCTTCGAGCAGGAACTAGTTGATGCGGTTATCACATGTGCCCTAGTGCAACATGTGAAAGAAGCAACTAGGTACGATCCGGACTCTGAATCATCCTTACTAGATCATATATTGACCGATTATAAGGATGACGTCACGAACCCCGATTACATGCCACCCATAAGTAAAAACAATTATGCAGTCCTAACCTTCCACTTCCATACACCTGTAAAAAATGATCATCCATCAAGTTAATCCAGACCTAATGTCTCTAAAGCAAACATACCAGATATCATTCACTCAGCATCGCTGGTAGATTGGCAAATAGACCCAGAGTCCTCGATTGAAACAGCTTGGGACGCATTTCGAAATACATACCTAAAAGCTACCACACCCCTCATCCCTTGGATTACACCAAGGGGGCCGAGAAACTCTCCACCATCGTTCGGTAGGGAGGCCCGTGTCCTTCCCTGTAAGAGAAGAAAAATGTTGGATAGATTTAGGTTACTGGGGACTGCTGAGACAAAAACTCAGTATCGAAAAGCTTGGAATACTTGTGCCTCGACCCTCCGTAAGTCTAGAAAGTTGTACGAAGAAAAACTTGTTAAGGAATCCATAGAATGTCCTAAACGCTTGTATTCCTATATAAAACAAACGACAAGGAGAAAAGGAAATATTCCTGCTCTATGGGGAGACAGTACTGTTTCATCATTAATGGAGGACGACTTTGGTAAGGCTCAACTGTTCTCGGACTACTTTAGCAACGTATATACCACAGAAGCGCCCTTCCCGTCAGCGTATACAGATTCCCCCATACATACACTGGATAGCGTGACCATTAAAGAACTCGATGTCTTTTGTCTGCTAAATAAGCTTGACATAGGCAAATCCACGGGGCCCGATGAATTATATCCTAGGCTACTGAAGGAATTATCTAA